AATACCTGATTTGTCTTTATGAAACCTGAGACACATAGCTGAGGGGTGAGGGCATAGATTCTGTTGGATCTTACCAAAGTCTTAGGTGACCAAGGAACCTAAAAGGAGATTAATCACAGACAGGTAGAGAAGGATTAACATGGATTAAGATCAGTTTGACTTGATTAATGAGAAACAGTATGTTATAAAATTTTTTTAAAATCGTAGTTAAATAAAACATATTCTAACCTAAACAGCCCCCCAAAATCTTTAAGTATACAAACAGAAAAAAGTGCCATAAGAATTTTTTTTGCCGTTAACAATAAATTTAAAAAAATCCAGATGACATGCATTTAACGGATGTCAGAATACATTGAAAAATACATCTCTACTCCTACCAAAACGTAACTAATAACTGATACATCAAAATACAGCGATAATAAACTGCAACCACCCCTTGTCTAGATGAATGGGTTTCTCTGTATCCTTGGAAACGTGAATTAAGATTTTTTGCTGTGCTTTTAAAAATTTTTTAATAAGTTACTCCAAAATTCGCTTGAGGATGAAATGGAACTAATGTCTTTAATTTAATTACAAAATTAAATTCAAAGCTTTTAGCTTCCATTTTTGAAACATGGTTAGAACTGTGTAGAGTAAAAAAAAAAACATATTTTAAATCAATTAATATATAATATTAATGTTCTGTAAATTTACATTGAGCACTATTTTGTAAAAATAAAAATATCTATAAGAACACCGGATTATATATCTTACTGTTCTTTCTTTTTATTTATATATACATATATATATATATGTATATGTATATAATATTAAAAAGAAAAATAGTAAGCAAGACTAGAGTCAGGCCAATGCTTAGACATTTTTTTTTTTAAAAGTGCTCAATACACAATTCAGAAAAAGTGAGCTTGTAGAGCTGGTAATAAAATATAAGACGAGGAAAAATCTACACACAATGCACTACCTGGGTTTTGACCTTACAGTCTCGTCAGGGTAGTTGCTTGTGGATAGTTAATCTGTAACACTATTGATGACTGCTCAGATAAACTATCAAAGAAGCACAAATCAGATATATCAGAAGTATGGGGGGGGGGCAAAGAAGAGTTGATGGAACCAAAAAGAAAAAAAAAATTTTGTTCATCTGGGCTTGTACATTTTACTGGTATGTCTACATTTCGACATTATCTCAGACTGTTGGTTTAACAGGTTGGTCTTGTCGGGGTACATCACTATGGCCAGCTTCTCTTTTTGACAGAACTTACAAACATTATCAATACATTTGTAAGGCTTAACTCTCCTTAATTCACTTCATTTTATGCTGGAGATTTTATATTTCTTTTTAAATTCCCACACGTTTTGCTAGTTTAAGGTTGAAAACTGGGTAGTGCGTTGCGCATGGATTTTTTCCTAATCTTATACTTTATATATATATGCGTGTGTGCATGTTTGAGGACTAGAAGTGTGATCCCTTGGGTCTCCCTGACAGTGAAACCAAAGAAATTACTACATAAACCAAGATATAAGAGATTCCGCTCTTGGTTTTGAATTCAGAGTTGATTGAATGATTTTCAACCAAGGCTAAAAAACTCCAGTAAGTCCTGCTATTCTTATATTCAACATGTTTGGTTATGGAAGAATAGCAATAATAAGAAGAAGAACAAAACTTCATAAATAATGTAGGTAATAGTAAATACTTAAAAAATCAAAGTCTTAAGTGATTCATTTTAGCTTGATGGTTTTGTTGTACTGTTATTTAATTTTGATTTCTCTCCCTATACTAAACATGTCTGTTTGAATAATAATAATAATAATAATAATAATGAAACTTAAATAATACTGATAATAAACACATTAAAAAGAATCAATGAATATACCTTCTTTTTTTTAAAAATACATTAAATGGGAAGGATGTGCATGGTGAAGTTAGTAGCAAGGACATTGATATTTGGTTGGAAACTGATGAGATTTAGAAACAAAACAATTTGAAAAAATACATATGCCAAAAATAAATATGATTTAAAAATTTAGAATATTATTATGGGTTACTTGTAATTGCATGCATGAGTCCCAGTATAAATATTTATAAATAGTTATTGACTGATTTTATCATTGTGTTATTTTTGCATTATGTCAGGTATTAAGAATATATTAACTAGGATCCGCAAATTGAAGGAGAGTTCAATGATAATGTTCTGACCTCGACTTCGCAGTTACCTCCCTTTAGCCCTCCCTCAGGGTTTTTTTTTTTTTTTAATGCACTTTTTATCACATAAAATTATTTGGTGAGGCACGACCAAGTTTTCATTTCGAAAATGTGACCCAGAGAAAAAAAAATGTTTGGGAACCACTGCTGGAGACCCTTGTTATATATGGTTTTAAAAGAATAGCACGTGGCCTTCTTTATTACAATAATAGGCCTCCTTTATTTTTATTTAGTGTTTTTTTTTATTTTTTTGTTCACTCAATACAGGACCCAAGAGCCACTCTAGGCAATGGGATTACAAAATTAGTTTAATCACTGACAATGAAAATTTTCTACTTTAATTTCTGACTTTTTAAAGTTTTTATAAAAATGTCAAATTTGAAACTTGTAAGATTTCTTTTTAAATAAACAAAAAAAACAAAAAAAAAACGGATACATTTTTTTTTATTTTATGCTTTAGTTTTAAACAAGCAATAATAACAATTATTCGTCAGGCAAAAAAAAAAAACAAAAAAAAACAGATTTTTAAACTAAACATTTAAAAAACGATCTGTCATAACAAAAAAAATTAACATAAATTAATAAAAGTATCCGTTTATTTTTAATCATTATTAGCCAGCTAATGTTTAGTTTTTATGCATGTGCTTCCGAAAATAAAAATCCCCCAAAAAATAATTTTAAAAAAAGTTAAAAACAAAAACACGCAGTTCTGTTATCAATAACAAACGCACTTTCAAATTTGACATTTTTAAATTAACAATTAGGTCCTTTAAAAATCTTTTTTAACTCTTTAAAATCGATTTTACATGAAAATTATGAACTGGTCCTGTAGTGTAGTAAAATTGATCCTTAATGATTCTTTTTTAAAATGATAATAAAAAAAAAAAAAAAAAAATGAATATTTTAAAATATCTAATGCTTAAATGCTAATCTTCAAAAATTATCAAGCAAAAAATAAAAGTCTTTAATTTTTTGAGGCGTCTAGTCTTTTTATTTAAAAGTGCCAAAGATTTCAAGTGTTCTCCAGAAAGAGACTAAAAATAAACTAAAAAAAAAAAAAAAACTATCAAGAGTTTTTTTTGGCGATCTTGCACGTTCTCATGTTTTTAAATTATTTTTTGACTTTAATCAAACAGTAACTAAGAATTTGATATGGGTATTTTTTTTTTTTTATCTATAAACATTTGTTTTATTAATCTACGAATCTTATTGTTTTAAATTAAAAAAAATTAAGTTTTATTTTTTTTTTTAGCTGAAACTATTTTTTAACGATTATTTTTTTATTCAATGTCGGTCTTTCTTTAATTTTTTAATTTTATTTTCAGTGTTTTTCAAAACTCACATTTAATCGTATTTTATTTTTATAAGTTTTTTTTTTTTTTTTTTTTTATTCGATTAAGACATAAAGGTCATATGCACCAAAAAGAATTCCACAGATATTTAAAATAAATATAAATTTCCAGGAATTACATAAGCTATCAGAGAAGATTAAGAAGAACGTTTCAAATTTCAATAATATCGTACGTAAATTGTTGAAAAATAATCACATGAGGTTAGAATTTTTTTTTTTTTGTTGATAGTTTTTTTTTTTGCTGGTCATGCAAAAACAAATAATAATTCAAACATCATTAACGACGCATTAAAAATAATTTTAAAAACCGTTACAACGTGCGAGATCGCCCCCTTTTTTATTTTATTTCTGCTTGACAGAAAGTTTGACCGACTCTTAAATGTTGATATCCGATTTAATTTAATAAATACTTTAATTTTTATAAACTTTTAGCGAAATCATTCATCATGGTGATAAAAATTTACTTTAAAAAAATTTCTTAAACAGTTACTGTATTCTTCCTAGTGTTTTTTTTTTCTTTTTAACCAACAAAATAGCGTGTTTTTCTTGTCTGGCCAATGCTAAATTAGTAATGATTATTAATGAATATGTTTCATGGCATATGTTTTGTTTTTACAAGTAACTCAACAATATTTAATTTATTTCTTAGAAATAATTTAAAAAGTTTAGCAAAAAACCTTTGCTAAAAAAAAAAAGAAAAAAAAAAAAAGAAAAAAGGTCAATATTAAAACGAAATCAGTGATTTATCAACGTAGGTAGCATTTTAAATTTAAAAAAAAAGAAAAAGGTTAAAAAAAAAAAAAAATCAACAACTGACATAACCTCTCCCAGACAAAACCCCTGAAAAATTAAAAGAAAAATCACTAGAACAAACTCTGTACTTTACTGTTTTTACACGTATCGTCAGATTTAATTTTATAAAAATTAATTAATTAATGAGGTAATTTAAACTTTTAGTACCTTTTTGCACCAAGTCCAAATGCAATACATGAGTTAAAGTACTATTTTCAAAATTTACAGAAATAATTAAAAATCTTACAAAAACATTATTAAAATTCTTCTTAAACAACTGTTTTTTTTAATATCTCGCCTAAATTTGGCAATGGCACAAAAAAAAATTTTGAAATATTTTTTTTTAAATAAGCGCTTAACCTTAAATTTTCAGTAACTCAATGTACAAGTTTCAAAAATTTAAAAACCAAAATTAATTTCTGAAAATACGAGTTTAAAAAAAATAACAAGGGAGACAGAAAACCACATGTGAGGTAGGAAGATTATGTTGCGTAGAACATGCCTGTCTTGAAAATCAGCATTATTGTTGATTACGATGATGATGTCACCAAGGCTCAGACCGACCTCAGGCATTAAACGAGAATACACGGAGCAACTGCAGAAAGTAATTGTACCCCTGGAGGCAACAATTATACACTGACAGTGACACAAAGTTTTTCACATATCAATTCGCGTAGATTTTTGGGGGGATTCTTCCACGCTGCAAGGGATACTGAGAGCTCGTTTCTTTGATTTTATTTCACAAAAGCATATCTCATACTCGGAGTTGGGGGACATTTGCCACGCCTGGAATTCTTCCTTGATCTCATAGGCTAGTTTATTCATTTCAATCTCTTCCAGGGCTTCGGTAAGGCACTGGACTTTGTCTTCCTCTGCGAGGTAAGGACAGTCCTGTTTCCAGGCGTTTAAGATGTCGTATGCAATCAGATAGAGAGAATCTGGATAACGATGTTCAGTTCTTCGGAGGATTTTATCGGGAATATCCAGGGAATGTGCAAGCTGAGAGACAATTTCCATGTTTGGAAGATTATCACAGATTTTAGATATGCGGCGCGCGTGAAGAAATTCGGTAATTTCCTTTGGCATGTAAGAAGATGATATAGCCACGTTACTTTCCATGTCTAGGACGGTGATCACAGTCATGTAAAAAGCGTCGTGGGGTAGGTGATGTTTCATTGACGTGTTTAGATAGGAGAGAATTGTCTGGAAAGGTTGCAAATATTCTTGTTCATTTTCGTACAGCTGCAAGCCAAAAAGTTGAAAATATAAAGCCATATTAAACTCATTATTTGTTAGTCTTTGCTGTCGGCACCATTTAGCAAATTTTTTCACGACGGTCTCTCGTAGACCGGTGGATTTTTTTGATTTTGACAACTTCGTGATAGCATATTTCGCGTTTTTTTCGACGATATTTCGGCAGCAGACGTGTCCGTTTACCCATTTCAAGAACTCGGACACAAGTATAGCAGCTTTTCTACCAAACCCGACATCGCGAAGGACTGAGTCCAGCTTGCGACAGGCCTCAAAATCTCCTACATTGTAGGTTTCTCTCCATAGGAGAAATAGATCGACCGCATAACTTAAAAGGTTGTCATATCTTGACCGCAAGTGCACGGAAACAGAGTGCGAGATCCCTAATTGCAGGCCGATATTAAAAATCTCTTCTTTATAACTGAAATCTTCAGCAATCAAATTTATCTGCTTTGTAGTAAAGAATCCCAGATATTTAGAACTTTCAACATTATCAATCTCATTTTCTAAAGCAAATTCTTTCAGAAGGGGATAATTTTCCATTGATTTTTTTCTTTTTTTTTTGCAATTACAGGACGGTTACTTTTTTCTTCTTTTTTTTTTTTTTTTTTTTTTTTCAAAAATTCATTTTGATCATTAGATCATAAGAATAGACAGAAACAGAAAAAAGCACATAATTAAAATAAATAAATAAATAAATAAAACGGTAATCAATTACCGTTATTATCCCGGCTGATCGAACTCGAATGGTAACAACAACATAATTTTTTAACAATGTGTGTGATGCATGTTGCGACTCAAGATGAAAGTTCAGTTAAAAATGAAAGTTTAGCTCTGAAAAATAAATATCAGTTGATCATATACATATTTTTTTCGCCTATAAACATTTGATTTTCGTTAAAAACATAGGGAGGTGAAAAGATTTTTTACCTGTCAAAACAAACATTCATTTTTAAGTTTACAAGCGTTTTTTCCATTTAAACACTTTAAAACCGGCCAAAGATTGATTTTGTACTTGTGATCTTCCATAGGTATCCGAATAAATAGCTTTGAATATATTTTAACTTAAAATTTTAACATCCAGCTTGTGTTTTAAAAAGACGTTATATAAACGAAGCTCACAAAGAGAAAAAAACTAAAGAATGACTGAAAACATTCTTCTGTCTGTTAATACAAAAATAGAATTCACGTGGATGTTGCTATTCCGGTTTCCCACTTTTTTTTTTTTTTTTTGATATAACAATTGTATTGTGTTATGTGGGGTTGATCGCTTGAGTAATTTTATTAGAAATGAGTTGTCTTCATCTTGCCTATTTTTTAAGTTGTTAATTAGAAATATAAGATATGAAAAAATATTTACAGACATCTGGGGTATTAAAAACAATGAAATTGAAATATGAAACGTAGTGATCCACAATGTGCAAAGCAAATTATTACCTACTTACGCCAGCATTTGTCAAGGCGTACCTTTAGGCCGGCCACTAAAGAAACCATTTTAAGTACAATGGGGAGGTGTTGCCTGGAAGACGGATGGATCATTGGCTTTTAAATTCTTTTTATCAAAGTTTTTATTTATTTATCAGTAATGCTTTTCCTAAGCTCCTACTGATCATCACATTAACGAATGGATCGGATAAGATAATTTAAAAAGTCAATTACAATTTAATTTGTCAATCGATCTGAAAAACAAAAAAAATGTGTTGAGGAGTTTTAGCCGAAAGAGCATACGTTTCACCTTTTAATGATACCCGAGGCCTTATGGATTTTGGATTTCCCCGCCCCAAAGAAGTAACTGTAACACTGTGACTGTGACGTGTGGGCAGCTGGAATCTGATATCAAGATTATTTTAATTTTTTTTTCTTTACTTATTTATTAGTTACTTCCAGTACATGCAACCTTAAGTGTACAACAGAAACACGGGTATCAGGATCAGTAAAGAATTCGCATTTGCAGTGCAACTTTTCATTTTGTTTCCCGTTGACTTTTTCTCTGGTCTTGATTCGCTCTTTATTTTTTTTTTTTTTTTACTCATCAATAAAATTCATTTTCATTCATCCTTCATAAACACGAGAGTTCATTGCAATTTGATACTTTCTTTTTTTAAAACTTTTAAGTAAGTAATGAACCCTAGATATTACCAATTAGTATTCCTAAAAGTGCGTGTAAGGGCCAGTTCTCCACGGCTGGTAAGTTTTTTTTGTTTTTTTTTTTATGGAATTTATAGAGAATTAGTTGCTAAATAATACTCTATTAGTAGAAAGAAGGATAAAAATAAAAAATAGAATCGAAGTCATAAAATAGAGGCCATAATTCGCGAGTTAAAAACTTATGTAGTTTATTCAATTGTTTGTATGTTTATTTGAGTTTTTTTCCAACTATATATTCACATATATATTTCGGTGGTTCGAAAAGTCTTGTCACCCTAACCCTCTCTTCCAAACTGTAGGAACTCGTGTCAGCCATTTGAAATAGAAAAAAAATGTTATGTAAGGGTGACAAGACTTTCGGACCATACTGTGTACTGTAGTCCCATCAGGAACAAAATTTTACAAAGTAATTAAATTCTTCAGAATTTCTCCAAAAAGCCATTACTGATGAAACACTCGGTCGCAGTTATATTTTTTTACAATAATATTTCATCAGTCTCCGCTATTTTGTCTGAATCTCCAATTTTATCACCACTGAAATAGCAGCACAAAAATCTGAAACAGTCAACTACTGTTTGTTTCGAGTAACTGTGTACTGTAGTCACTTAAAAAATAAAACCTAGCATAGCCTAAAAGCTAAAAGTGTATGAACAAAAGAACTTTCAATTTTGCGTATGTAAATATGTCCCCTATTTTGGGGTCTCGATTCTAGACTGTGGAATACAAATTAGTTCCGCTTGAGTCATTTTTACGTAAATTTAGGTTACACACACTGCTGAGTTACAGTACACTGAGTCAGATGGGATTGGTTTCTCAATTCCTATTGTTACATTTTTTAGCCTAAAAATTGTTATTTACTTTAAAAAAATGTTTTTTCTAATTATTTTTCAATATGCTTTTCCATCTTTTTAAATTTGATGTTGCCGTTTTTATTTTAATTTTAAACTACTTATCTTTAATTATCTTTCTTTATATTTTATGTTGTCTAGTTTTTATAATATGTTGCTGAAAGGAACAGCAAATTCTACGACAACCGCGCCGCGGGAAACACAGACGCTAGGTACGTCACTAATTTTTACAGCTGAAAATAGTTGCAATTATGACTAGCTCTAGAGTAGGAAGTTGAAAATGTCCTTGATCCCCAGGTGGGACGAGCATCTCCGTAGGCAATATTGCTTTTTTCTTTGAAAGGAATTTAGGAAATAAATATTGTCCCCAAAATGAGAAATGTCGACGGTGCTTGAGCAATTTTTCCCATATACGCGCCCACTCGCATTTTAAAAACGGACACTGTCATATTCCATTTTTTTGAATAGGCGTGCGGATAAATCCCATACTTGTGGCTGCTGTGAGTGCGAGAGATAAAAAATAAAATTAAGTCAGTTAGTAAATAATAATAATAATAAGTAGTAGTAGTAATAATAATAATAATAATAATAAAGCAAAAAAAAAAAAAAAAAACATTTTTTATTTTTATTCTCATGTATAATCTTATTCTTAAACCGGCTTGTTTTGCCGTGTTGACCTACCTGTTCTCGCATGCGTGTCTGGGGCCAGGGGACAACTAAAAGTAAAACCATCTCTGTGCATATTTACGCTCCCTACTATTACGTACACAATGGCAGAGATACTTACCCGGCCTCCCCACTAAGGTAGGATGTGACACAAGGTTGTTTTAATGTGGGGAGCGCCATGCACATACGTATGAGCCAAAGACAACATTTTCCCCCAGCCCACGCGACCACTGTTACGCTCATTTACACTACAGTTTACAACACTTTTACACCGACCCACCCTCTCTTACTGTGATGAGGAAGGTGCTACCACAGGGTTGGAATTCCCTGGGTCGAGCAAGTTCTCGCATCTAAAATAAGGAGAAACATTACTCTACTTATTGCATAAAAGTTCATTCTTGTGCTAGGCAAGTACATGATGTTTTGTAACAGATGGTGGGTTTGTGGAGTGCTCTACGCCTACAATTGGATCAAGGACAAAAATTGCACAGCACCGTGACCACTGTCTCGCTGACGTAACCATCCGCCAACACGCCATTGTAACAGTCAAATTTCCTGTCGTACAGAGATATATCTTTACATTCTTTGTGTGCAGATACTTGGTGCGCAAAAAATCCCTTGTTTTTGTCATATAGGAAAATCCATCATGGCGCGTAAACGAAATATTCGGCGGAAAATCTCATTCGTTAGTAATGTTAAACACCTCATAGAATGTAAAGTTCTTAAAGCAAACCTGTACCAAACTGTTTTCTTGAATCCTTGACGACTTGGCTGTCCGAAATTGACAACATCAAGATGAAATAATAGAAACTGACCGTAAAAAACACAATTACGACATTTTTTCGGCTATTGTTTGCTGCAGACAGTTTGCACATGGAATTATTCACTGGTAATTAATTATCGATTTGGCTGTGGAAAATGTCACTCGGCGGTTAACATTAAGAAATTATGCCCAATTTTCCGAGACAAATCACCTTTTTTTTTATGAAAAAATATTTATTTTCACTTCAAAATAATATCATTCAAAATTCATCCCTTTCTCCTTAATTTGGTGTGAACATCATTGAATAAAAGGAACGGCTAAATGGCCCGGCGATGAGAAATACGAAAGACATGCGGCGAAAAAAACAATGTCGTCTGCTATTTGTTGTTGTCATCATCCAGGTCACGGGGTGTTAAAAACAAAACAAAGCACATCAAGCCATTGTTCAAACATAGGTTATTAAGCCCTACTAATGTTGGGCCTTTTTTCACTCTTTGCTCTTATCTGGGAGTGGCGGGTTTTATTACAACTTGTTTTAAACGTTTATTGCTGGCTGGCGGATGACTGACCTTTGACCCAGAGATGTCAAAATCAATTTGGCTTAATTTTCCTTATTGCTGCTATGTTTTGAAAAAAAAACAAAAAAACTTTTGGTTTCTGGTGGTCAGGAATTGCAGATAAATCTTTTACCTTTTACTAAAGATTTCCGCGGTCGGGTGTCAATTTTTAACTGGCAGTCATATAATTGAAAATTACCAATGGACTTTGAGGCATTTTGACCCCCTAGGAATGTTGATTTCCTTCAAAACTCTCAATTTTATGTCTGAAATAGTTTGGTTAAGATTTAGGCTTTCTGATTTTCCAAAGAAAAAAAAATGGTTAATTTCCCATTAATGGGGAAAATTTTTGTTTACATCTAGGAAAAATGCAAAATTTTCACTATTTTTTTTTACATTTCATCCCCTGAAAATAATTTTGAGTCATTTACACCAGCCTGAATTGACTTTATTTAAGTTCAGTTGGGCTACAGGAAATCTCAAACAGCTGCGCTCGCGGAAATGATACAGTTATTTTGATTACTATCTCTAGAGAACAATGTAAAAATATGTCATTTTTTTCCTGGTGCAGAAAAGTAATAAAATAGGAAGTAATTCTTGTTTACAACTATTTGGCATTTTTATTCTACGAATGATCAAAAAAATAAAATTCTAAATATAAATCTATTGAAAATTGTTGAAAGTTTTGACTTTTGACTAATACTTCATACTGATAAGATTTTCGTATGTTTAATAAAGTTTTTGGTGTCATTAATGTTAAAAATACAGTAAAGTTAAAAAAATTACTTGGTTAAGAGTATACGACATTCTGTCGTCCACGTTTTATTATTATTATTATTATTATTATTATTATTATTATTAAAAATATGAATGTCCGAATTCCAAAAAATAATATAAATTAATAACATGTGTATGTCTGAAATAAATAAATTTGTATTTACAAACATATGTACATGAATTCAAGAGAGTCAAAAAGGAGTAAAAATAGTCTTTAGTTGAGTCCTTGGGTCGTTGGTTCATAGGAAAAGCTATGGTTGAAAAAAGGTTTCATCGTTAGTGAAAATTCAATGGTCGTCTTTGTTGTTGCCGGAGATCATTCGTTTGAAGTCGCTGACATGTTTTTTCGGTACCCGCTAGGAGTGAGGGGTTTGCTATGTAGCCACGTCTTCTCCTGTGTTTAAATGGCTTGGAGACAGTTACATCTCTGCTCCTGAAAGTCTCAATCTGTGGGGGGGGGGGGGAAGAATTTTTCCCCTGAAAGTAGGTTCGAGAAAAATAAGGTTTTAGTTTTCTCTGATTGGTCAAATATTTCACATGGTGATATTAATTTCTAACCAATAGACACTTTGATTTTTAAACGATGTTTATTCTTTCGTGGAATCTTTTATAAATATTGCATGTTATTGGGTAGAAAATAATGTTTGCGCGTGTTATAATATGATACGTGTGTGTGTATATAATTGTATTGTAAATAGCGTTTCTTTCCTATAAGGGGTTGTAAATGACTGGGAGAATATTTAGATAGTTTTCTAATCAATGAACTTCTACATTGTGTTTATTTATTTTTTAAAAGTAGGATAAGAGTTGCAAATTAACAATTCTTTGATCTTTGAGTGTGTTAAGTGAGGGCATACCCTACTGGGGAAAGTGTATTTTTTGTTATATTTTTTGTAAAAAGGAAGTACTCTAATACATTTACAAATTCTAATTAATTTAACCTTAAATTTACTATTTTTTTCGAAACAAATGTTTGAAACAGATATTGGATTTTAAAGATATTTATATTAAAGTGTTTTAATTTCTCTTTGTCGGCGTTCATCAAATTCGTTCAGTGCACTCAACGCAAGTGAGTTTCTTTTTTATTTTTTTTTGGTTTAAAAATGTCTAAAATTCTTATTTAAGGACGCTGAATATTAACATTAGGCTATTAGCTTTAAAATAAAACCATAAGTTAACTTCGAAAGAAGACATTTAAATGATTTAAAACGTGTGTGTGTGTTTTTAGCTCTTGTTGAAGAGAAAAATAAAAATAAATTTACAGTTCAGTGTAGAGAATGAGCTCACATACTCCAGTCAACCAGCTAGAGTTAGCACTTAATGGAAATGTCACACTCAACAAAATCACCCAGTAGAGTCTTTTAGTCAAGTTTTTTTTTTTTTTAATTCTTTTATTTTTTTTGTCTAGGGAGCTTATTGCCGAATTGGATCAACCCACAACAAAGAAAAAGGTGAAAAAATGTTATTTTAAATGTAAAAATATAAGATATGTTTATTTTCGTGTTTTACAATTTAATTTCTCTTAGCTTTTATGAGTGTTAAAATTCTTATAGTCCTTGTTTGTAGTTGTTAAAATTCTTATAGTCTTTGCTTCGTTAAGATGAAAAGAAATGTGATTTGTTCGCGAGTATGTGTGAGAAAAAAGAGGTAAAGAAGAAAGTGGGGAGGAAAGTGTAAGTGTCACGTAGCTTGGTAAGAAAGACGGGTGAATGAGTAAGGGAATTTTGCACTGTTGGAGCCTGTTGCTGTATTAACTGGAACGATACGCAATTCACCGACTCAGAAACCTTTTTTTTTTCTTTTGTTATTTGGGGTTTAACTGTTTCGGTGTTTATTTCCGTCTTCTCTCCACAATCCTTTCTCTTTCAGCTTTAACCCCATTCAAGATTTTTGCCAGTTGCTCAATTGTTGAGAAAGTTAAGTGGACAGTTGAAGAAAAGATTAAAAAAAAGACTAGGATGTCGAAACGGACAAAGATTATTACTTAAACTACGAACTATTTCGAAGAATGGCAGGAAAGATTAAATTAATCACTGAAATTTTGAAACTGTTCTGTGGTGAGGGAGATGTTATTGCCTGGGACATTAAAATCAAACTAGTGGCAAGGATTCGAGTCATCATAGTTATTGCATGTCTTATACCACTCTATCTCGAAAATGAAACCCTTGAGTTATACCTCGGGATGAGAGGGGGAAGACCTGCACGATGCGGATATGATAGAGCTGAGATTCAAAGAGGCGTTATTAGAATTTAATTTGTTAGAGATAATAATATAAAGAGAGAGCTGGGAATATAAAAAGGAATTTAAGCACCCTCGCCATGACCATGGTGCTATAAATTCGGGGGTTAACACCCACTACTTGTCTGACCATTGCTTCCAAAAACCAGCTCCCAAACCTTTGATTCTTACCAGAGATAAGAATATATTTTCTGACGAATGAGAGGACCAGGAAAGTGTATAGCAATTTTGGAGGGAAATGTTCCCGATATTTCTGATCCTTCTAATCTCGATAAATACGAAGAATATAGGCCGCTTTGGCAGTGGGTACGTGACATCGTCTGTGATAACATCAGATCGACGATAGAATACCAGTCATCTTCGGAACCTGTTTCAAGATCTACATGCTGGGCTCTAAAGACAGAACGTCGGTCCTCTGCTAAAAACTAATCGAGATCTGCCTCATTGCACCTAGAAATTCATGTCGTCGGCCTACGAACTCACTCAACTACAAACTTTGGATCTTCCGAGTGTTTCCTCCTCAACAAGAACCCTGAAGAAATCTATGTGAGTGTTAACTCCTTAAGAATAATTTATTTGCTTAAAGAACTTTTAGGTGCTCAGAGAATTATTTTGAGCAAGCTTTTATATGAACAGTTTTTCTTCCTTTAAGTTAAAGAAATTTTCTTCTCCCTTTCTTTCTCTCATATTTGTGTATATTATATCCCTTTATCCTTTTTATGTATGTAAATAAAATTTTTCTTCTTCTATTGTCACTCTCCGGTCAGGAGTTTGAGTCTTTATTCATCTGCCTAAAAGAGAGAATTGTATGCTCTAATCTTTCAAGCCGTTTTTGCTTTTATCGATTCTGTCACCTTTAACCTTAACCCTTTTATGTGGGAAAGCCGGGACAAATTTCCTACAGCGTTCACGGAAGGCCCATTTGTTGTATATGCAAAATTGAGCAGTGTGGTGTGTTCTGGTGAATTGATTGATCTGTATCGAGAACGGGGTAGGATTACTTTAACTTTATTTGTTTTGTTTTTTTATAGAAATTCTGTGGCTTTGCCTAGGATACATCGCTCCTATTTTTTATTTTTCAGCACCTCCTGATCCTCTTCTTGGTTATTTTTAATCACTGCACAGTTTCACAATTTAGAATTAAATATTTAAAAATAAAATCCTTTCCACCCACTACGCCGTTTTTCTCCAACCGCCCACGTACACGCTGAATATCCACACCTAAAATCAAAATACCGAAGCAGTTCGTTACACAAGAGCAGCTACAATAATTTAAAATAAAAAATAAAATTCAGATGATGATACATAACAATGTTTGATTCCCAACCGTTTTTACCTCGCTTTTTCTAACAAGCTTCGTCTGTTTACGATTTTACGACTATCCTTTTTTTACGTTCTTTTATTTTGTGAGTCAGCATAATTTGAAAACGTGCGCCAACTCACCGTAACTCTTTTTCTAACACCTTATTTTTTTTATTTTCTTTTTAGTTTTTAATTAGGAGTTCTATTTTTAACGGAAATGACATCACAAGTCAACAATTAATAAGCTAATGTAGAGTGCACTACCACAGAGCCCCTTGCTAATGACGATACATTGATACCAACTTTTATTTACTACTTTTATGGTGACGTAGGGATTCGGGGTTGAAATGAAAAGTTGATATACCTACGTCAAGAAGATTAACGAAGGGTGATAATAGCGTGGGATCGCGCGGGAAATTTTAACAAAACAAGATAAGGAGTTTATTCACAAATTTACACGCTTGAAATAGTGTCAATAGCTCGTTCCAGGAAAATGAATCAGAATTCTTAAAGTCAGTAGTTTTAATGTATTGTCATAAAGAGGAAATGTTCATGCAATAAAAAAATGATCTTGTAAAAAGTGTTGATTAGTACGTCGGGTTGATCAATTATAGAATGTAATACTTCTCGAGTGTTGTGGTCACCAATGTTGAATGGGTTAAATACATAATGCGGCTGCGTGTTGAGAAGGTAATCAACATTCATACATAATACTTAAAACATCAAGGAAAAAGAACAATGAGAACCAATTTTATTTAACGAAGAAATATGTATATTAAATTCAACAATAATACAAAGTAGTTGCAATATGAGTGAAAAAGGGAGAAAAAAGTAGCTTCCCCTTGACTGTAAGGAAATGTCTTAAAGAAGATTTGTCTGAGTAAAATGTTCAGAGTTCAGTGTTAAAAATAGAATATTTCTTTCAGAAAATTGTTCAATAGTTGCAACTTACAAAGTTGATTTAACTTGGTGTGTCCACCGAGAACTGGTGGTGTATCAAATAAAGTTCTGTAGTGTTATGTACGTGGGGAGTGAGTAGGACGAGCGAGTAAATGAGAACTATTGACTCTGGGTACCTCGACTGTGGTTCTGAAATTACTACTACTGTTTTTTTGGAATGCATCCAATATTTATACTATCTAGGGTGGCTCCCAGCACCGACGCTGGAATATATTTTTGAATATACATGAAAAATATCCGATTGGACGGAAAATGGACCAATCAGCGATTTTGTAGCAAAGCTTGTTTTGAACAAAGTGTAGGAACAAATTTACTATGGTGGAATGCGATAGATAAATTGTCCTGTTACTTTTTAAGTATGTATTTATTGACCAATTAGAATTGGAGAAAATGTAGGCGTGCCACTACAATCTGACACAAAAATATTTTAAAAAATGTTTAAAACAAAGGTAAAAAGAGTTAGTTGCTCAACGAAGGAATATATGGTTTGTATACGTTCAAAAATAGACGAAGAGAAATAGTTTGAAATACTTAGCTTTCTTGGATTGTTGAGAATTGAGATAAAAGTTTTTGGAGTATCTCGTACTGGTTAGAGGCCGATAATATAATTGGCGAGTAATTTTACACTAGCGAGTACTTCAGCGCTGGTCGCGAAGAACTGAAACGAAACCTTTCACGTGACTTCAGACACTCTTCTCTGATTAATTTAATTTTTCTCTTCATTTTATATCAAAAAGAATTTCATGTAGGTTCGCTACTTTCCTCTTGGCTGACCGGCTAATTTCTGTGACGGCAAGGTTTTCATTGGTCCCAAAACACCTTCACATAGCGAATTTCTTTCCTTTTTCTTCTCAGCTCCCCGGTTAATCTCTGTGAAGGCAAGGTTTTCATTGGTGCAAAAAAAAAAAAATTCACATAGGCTCGCAATTTCCTTTCAATCTTCTTCCTCAGTCCTCCGAATTTGAAGGAAGTCGGTGAAGGAAGTTATTCTTATTTCGCACTCACTATACCTTGTCTCGGAGCCAATCCACTGTTTTTGAAGTTTATATCATGATTATTTGCAAATAAACAATCAAATTCGGGAGCTGCTTTGTAATTAGCCATTAAATTTTATTTCTATTTATAAAACGAAGTAAAACAATATTTATGGAACAAATGGTATAGTTATTGTTTAATGAAGTAAAAAGTAATCTTTTTATGACGTTGACGTCTTCTTTCAATCTTGTTGCGGAAACGAAGAATGGGTAACCCGGAAGACAGAACTTGTTACTGCTGTAGAGGTTATTTTCTTCATCGCCCTAGCAAACGTGAATTCAAGAAAAAGGAATACATCGGATTTTGGGTAAATAAATGTATACTTTATTTACATATATACAGAGCCATCAAACTATGTTGCTGTTGTAAAGGCCACAGAGTGAGAAATGAAGAAAGAAAGAGAAAAAGAAGGAGAAAGAAAGTTGGTGGCTGTTGGCTGATGTTCTGTGAAGACGGCGGTGTCGGAGTTGAAAGTTGTAATAGACAACATCGCGTTCAGTGTGCCTGCTCCGTATTCTCTCAGCCTCTGTGTGTCGACATCTCACCCGGGTCTCTGCCTTTTGCGGCGTTGAATCGGGGACCTTATATCAGTCGTATCGGCTCCAAATCACAGTTTGGTTCTTTTAGCGGGAGTCATTTTTCTGGCCAATATATAGTTCATTTTATTTCGTTTAATACCAAAAACATGCATCGAGCAGAGACGCGTTTTCACATCCTGCTTTGAGTCGTCAAACAGTCAACATCCGGTTTATATAGAAGAGTGTAAGAGACATAACAGTCTTTTGCAAGAAACATGTAAAAATCAGATTGTGAATTATCGGAGTGAAGGTTCTTCTTCTTAACAAGAAGAAGACGATATAGAACAACTACAGACTTAAAGGGGGAGTACTTTTCGCTGTAATGAAATTGTTCCGCATTCACTGCCATGCCATATAGTGACAGTAATTGTGAGTTCAATCCCTGCGTCGGGTAGCGTGTGCTTAAACCCAGTGGAAAAGGTGAGAACATTAAAAAAAACTTAGACATGGGCAGTGGAACGAGAACAGTTCATCCTCGTAGATTTAGCAGATTCAGTTCTAAATTTCCTGTAGGTTAGCCCGGTCGATTTACACCTGATGAAAACCAGAGAGCATAACTGCCGAAATGTTGTCATAATAACAACAACAACAGAGATAAGAAAAATAGTCCACATGTGAATAAAATAGCACGCTTTTCTTTGTTTCTAACGGAAGTTTCTCGTTTCATAATACTGTTCATGGTGGTACATTGCTCTGCAAACAGATATTGAATGATGGAAGAAAAGAACAAGCAAAGAGAAGACTTGTGTAAAAAATATATTGCCAAATTTATGTTTGCTGACATCAGCAAAAATAAGTTTACAAAGCACGTTCTCTGCACGTTCTGGTAGTGCAGGGATTATCAACCATTTTCATCCTATTTCCCCTTTCTCGTTATTTGCAGGGGTTATCAACCATTTTCATCCTATTTCCACTTTCTCGTTGTTTGCACGGGTTATCAACCATTTTCCTCCTATTTCCCCTTTCTTGTTATTTGCACGGGTTATCTACCATTTTCATCCTATTTCCCCTTTCTCGTTATTTGCACGGGTTATCAACCATTTTCATCCTATTTCCCCTTTCTCGTTATTTGCACGGGTTATCAACAATTTTCATCCTATTTCCCCTTTCTCGTTATTTGCACGGGTTATCAACCATTTTCATCCTATTTTCCCTTTCTCGTTATTTGCACGGGTTATCAACCATTTTCATCCTATTTCCCCTTTCTCGTTATTTGCACGGGTTATCAACAATTTTCATCCTATTTCCCCATTATCGTTATTTGCAGGAATTATCAACCATTTTCATCCTATTCCCCTTTCTCGTTATTTGCACGGGTTATCAACCGTATTCACCCTATTTCCCCTTTCTCGTTATTTGCACGGGTTATCAACCATTTTCATCCTATTTCCCCTTTCTCGTTATTCGCACGGGTTATCAACCATTTTCATCCTATTTCCGCTTTCTCGTTATTTGCAGGAGTTATCAACCATTTTCATCCTATTTCCCCTTTCTCGTTATTTGCAAGAGTTATCAACCATTTTCATCCTATTCCCCCTTTCTCGTTATTTGCACGGGTTATCAACCATATTCACTCTATTTCCCCTTTCTCGTTATTCGCACGGGTTATCAACCATTTTCATCCTATTTCCACTTTCTCGTTATTCTCACGGGTTATCAACCATTTTCATCCTATTTCCCCTTTCTCGTTATTCGCACGGGTTATCAACCATTTTCATCCTATTTCCCCTTTCTCGTTATTTACAGAAGTTATCAACCATTTTCATCCTATTTCCCATTTCTCGTTATTCGCACGGGTTACCAACCATTTTCATCCTATTTCCCCTTTCTCGTTATTTGCACGGGTTATCAACCATTTTCATCCTATTTCCCCTTTCTCGTTATTCGCACGGGTTATCAACCATTTTCATCCTATTTCCCCTTTCTCGTTATTCGCACGAATTCTCAACTATTTTCATCCTATATCCCCTTTCTCGTTATTTGCATGGGTTATGAACCATTTTCATCCTATTTCCACTTTCTCGTTATTTGCACGGGTTATCAACCATTTTCATCCTATTTCCCCTTTCTCGTTATTTGCACGGGTTATCAACCATTTTCATTCTATTCCCCCTTTCTCGTTATTTGCACGGGTTATCAACCATTTTCATCCTATTTCCCCTTTCTCGTTATTCGCACGGGTTATCAACCATTTTCCTCCTATTTCCCCTTTCTCGTTATTTGCAAGGGTTATCAACCATTTTCAATCTATTTCCCCTTTCTCGTTATTTACAGGAGTTATGAACCATTTTCATCCTATTTCCCTTTTCTCGTTATTCGCACGGGTTATCAAACATTTTCCTCCTATTTAACCTTTCTCATTATTTGCACGGGTTATCAACCATTTTCATTCTATTCCCCCTTTCTCGTTATTTGCACGGGTTATCAACCATTTTCATCTTATTTCCCCTTTCTCGTTATTCGCACGGGTTATCAACCATTTTCCTCCTATTTCCCCTTTCTCGTTATTCGCACGGGTTATCAACCCTTTTCATCCTATTTCCCCTTTCTCTTTATTCGCACGGGTTATCAACCATTTTCATCCTATTTCCCATTTCTCGTTATTTGCATGGGTTATCAAACATTTTCATCCTATTTCCCCTTTCTCGTTATTTGCAGGAGTTATCAACCATTTTCATCCTATTTCCCCTTTCTCGTTATTTGCACGGGTTATCAACCATTTTCATCCAATTTCACCTTTCTCGTTATTTGCACGGGTTATCAACCATTTTCATGCTATTTTCCCTTTCTCGTTATTCGCACGGGTTATCAACCATTTTCATCCTATTTCCCTTTTCTCGTTATTTGCATGGGTTATCAACCATTTTCATCCTATTTCACCTTTCTCGTTATTCGCACGGGTTATCAACCATTTTCATGCTATTTCCCCTTTCTCGTTATTCGCACGGGTTATCAACCATTTTCCTCCTATTTCCCCTTTCTCGTTATTTGCATGGGTTATCAACCATTTTCATCCTATTTCCCCTTTCTCGTTATTTGCACGGGTTATCAACCATTTTCATCCTATTTCCCCTTTCTCGTTATTCACACGGGTTATCAACCATTTTCATTCTATTCCCCCTTTCTCGTTATTTGCACGGGTTATAAACCATTTTTATCCTATTTCCCCTTTCTCTTTATTCGCACGGGTTATCAACCATTTTCATCCTATTTCCCCTTTCTCGTTATTTGCACGGGTTATCAACCATTTTCATCCTATTCCCGCTTTCTCGTTATTCGCACGGGTTATCAACCATTTTCATCCTATTTCCCCTTTCTCGTTATTTGCATGTGTTATCAACCATTTTCACCCTATTTCCCCTTTCTCGTTATTTGCATGGGTTATCAACCATTTTCATCCTATTTCCCCTTTCTCTTTATTTGCACGGGTTTATTTTTGCACGGGTTATCAACTATTTTCATCCTATTTCCCCCTTTCTCGTTATTTGCACGGTTTATCAACCATTTTCATCCTATTTCCCCTTTCTCGTTATTTTACGGGTTATCAACCATTTTCATCCAATTTCCCTTTCTCATTTTCATCCTATTTCCCCTTTCTCGTTATTTGCACGGGTTATCAACCATTTTCATCCTATTTCCCCTTTCTCGTTATTTGCATGGGTTATCAACCATTTTCATCCTATTTCTCCTTTCTCGTTATTTGCACGGGTTATCATCCATTTTCATTCTATTCCCCCTTTCTCGTTATTTGCACGGGTTATCAACCATTTTCATCCTATTTCCCCTTTCTCGTTATTTGCACGGGTTATCAACCATTTTCATCCTATTTCCCCTTTCTCGTTATTCGCACGGGTTATCAACCATTTTCATCCTATTTCCCCTTTCTCGTTATTTGCACGGGTTATCAACCATTTTCATCCTATTTCCCCTTTCTCGTTATTCGGACGAGGTAATCAACCATTTTCATCCTATTTCCCCTTTCTCGTTATTTGCATGGGTTATCAACCATTTTCATCCTATTTCCCCTTTCTCGTTATTTGACGGGTTATCAACCATTTTCATCCTATTTCCCTTTCTCGTTATTTCATTATTGGGTTATCAATAATTTCATCCTATATCCCCTTTCTCGTTATTCGCACGGGTTATCAACCATTTTCATTTTATTTCCCCTTTCTCGTTATTCGCACGGGTTATCAACCATTTTCATCCTATTTCCCCTTTCTCGTTATTTGCACGGGTTATCAACCATTTTCATCCTATTTCCCCTTTCTCGTTATTTGCATGGGTTATCAACCATTTTCATCCTATTTCTCCTTTCTCGTTATTTGCACGGGTTATCATCCATTTTCATTCTATTCCCCCTTTCTCGTTATTTGCACGGGTTATCAACCATTTTCATCCTATTTCCCCTTTCTCGTTATTTGCAGGGGTTATCAACCATTTTCATCCAATTTCCCTTTCTCATTATTGGGTTATCAACCATTTTCTTCCTATTTCCCCTTTCTCGTTATTTGCATGGGTTATCAACCATTTTCATCCTATTTCCCCTTTCTCGTTATTTGCACGGGTTATCAACCATTTTCATCCTATTTCCCCTTTCTCGTTATTTGCAGGGTTATCCTTCATTTTCATCCCTATTTCCCTTTTCTCGGGGTTATCAACCATTTTCATCCTATTTCCCCTTTCTCGTTATTTGCACGGGTTATTCCATTTTCATCCTATTCCCCTTTTCGTTATTTTGCGGGTTATCAACCATTTTCATCCTATTTCCCCTTTCTCGTTTTTTTGCAGGGTTATCAACCATTTTCATCCTATTTCCCCTTTCTCGTTATTTGCACGGGTTATCAACCATTTTCATCCTATTTCCCCTTTCTCGTTATTTGCGGGTTATCAACCATTTTCATCCTATTTCCCTTTCTATTTATTCCGCAAACTGTCAACCATTTTCCATCCTATTTTTCTCGTTATTTGCATGGTTATCAACCATTTTCATCCCTATTTCCCCTTTCTCGTTATTTGCAGGGTTATCAACCATTTTCATCCTATTTCCCCTTTCTCGTTATTTGCGGGTTATCAACCATTTTCATCCTATTTCCCCTTTTCTCGTTATTTGCACGGGTTATCAACCATTTTCATCCCTATTTCCCCTTTCTCGTTATTTGCATGGGTTATCAACCATTTTCATCCTATTTCCCCTTTTCGTTATTTGCACGGGTTATCAACCATTTTTTCATCCTATTTAACCCTTTTCTCGTTATTTGCAGGTTATCAACCATTTTCATCCTATTTCCCTTTCTCGTTATTTTGCACGGGTTATCAACCATTTTCATCCTATTTCCCCTTTTCGTTATTCGCACGGGTTATCAACCATTTTCATCCTATTTCCCCTTTCTCGTTATTTCGTTATCAAACATTTTCATCCTTCCCTTTTCGGGTTATCAACCATTTTCATCCTATTTCCCCTTTCTCGTTATTCGCACGGGCTATCAAACATTTTCCTCCTATTTCCCCTTTCTTGTTATTTGCACGGGTTATCAACCATTTTCATCCTATTTCCCCTTTCTCGTTATTCGCACGGGTTATCAACCATTTTCATCCTATTTCCCCTTTCTCGTTATTCGCACGGGCTATCAAACATTTTTCTCCTATTTCCCCTTTCTTGTTATTTGCACGGGTTATCAACCATTTTCATTCTATTCTCCCTTTCTCGTTATTTGCAGGAGTTATCAACCATTTTCATCCTATTTCCCCTTTCTCGTTATTTGCACGGGTTATCAACCATTTTCATCCTATTTCCCCTTTCTCGTTATTCGCACGGGTTATCAACCATTTTCATCCTATTTCCCCTTTCTCGTTATTTGTATGGGTTATCAACCATTTTCATCCTATTTCCCCTTTCTCGTTATTCGCATGGGTTATCAACCATTTTCCTCCTATTTCCCCTTTCTTGTTATTTACAGGAGCTATCAACCATTTTCATCCAATTTCCCCTTTCTCGTTATTCGCACGGGTTATCAACAATTTTCATCCTATTCCCCCATTTTTCTCGTTATTCGCATTTGGGTTATCAACCATTTTCATTCCTATTTTCCCTTTTTCTCGTTATTTGCACGGGTTATCAACCATTTTCATCCTATTTCCCCTTTCTCGTTATTCGCACGGGTTATCAACCATTTTCATCCTATTTCCCCTTTCTCGTTATTTGCACGGGTTATCAACCATTTTCATCCTATTTCCCCTTTCTCGTTATTCGCACGGGTTATCAACCATTTTCATCCTATTTCCCTTTTCTTTATTTGCATTTTGGGTTATCATTTTTCATCCTATTTCCCCTTTCTCGTTATTTACATAGGTTATCAACCATTTTCATCCGATTTCCCCTTTCTCGTTTTTTGCAGGAGTTATCAACCATTTTCAGGCTATTTCCACTTTCTCGTTATTTGCACGGGTTATCAACCATTTTCATCCTATTTCCCCTTTCTCGTTATTTGCACGGGTTATCAACCATTTTCATCCTATTTCCCCTTTCTCGTTATTTGCACGGGTTATCAACCATTTTCATCCTATTTCCCCTTTCTCGTTATTCGCACGGGTTATCAACCATTTTCATCCTATTTCCCTATTTCTCGTTATTTTTGGGTTATCAACCATTTCATCCTATTTTCCCCTTTTATTATTTGGGTTATAAACCATTTTCCTCCTATTTCCCCTTTCTCGTTATTTGCACGGGTTATCAACCATTTTCATCCTATTTCCCCTTTCTCGTTATTTGCACGGGTTATCAACCATTTTCATTCTATTCCCCCTTTCTCGTTATTTGCACGGGTTATCAACCATTTTCATCCTATTTCCCCTTTCTCGTTATTTGCATGGGTTATCAACCATTTTCATCCTATTTCCCCTTTCTCGTTATTTGCACGGGTTATCAACCATTTTCATCCTATTTCCCCTTTCTCGTTATTTGCACGGGTTATCAACCATTTTCATCCTATTTCCCCTTTCTCGTTATTCGCACGGGTTATCAACCATTTTCATCCTATTTCCCCTTTCTCGTTATTTGCAGGGGTTATCAACCATTTTCATCCTATTTCCCCTTTCTCGTTATTTGCACGGGTTATCAACCATTTTCATCCTATTTCCCTTTTCTCGTTATTCTCGTTTTGGGTTATCAACCATTTTCATCCTATTTCCCCTTTCTCGTTATTTTTTCATGGGTTATCAACCATTTTCATCCTATTCCCCTTTCTCGTTATTTGCACGGGTTATCAACCATTTTCATTTCTATTTTCATCCCCCTTTCTCGTTATTCTCACGGGTTATCAACCATTTTTTCTATTCCCTTTTCGTCGTTTTACGGGTTATCAACCATTTTTCATCTATTTTATTTCTCGTTATTCGCACGGATTTATCAACCATTTTCATCCTATTCCCCCTTTCTCGTTATTTGCACGGGTTATCAACCATTTTCATCCTATTTCCCTTTCTCGTTATTCACGGGTTATCAACCATTTTCATCCTATTTCCCCCTTTCTCGTTATTTGCACGGGAACCATTTTATCAACCCTTTTCCTCCTATTTCCCCTTTCTCATTATTTATTTTGGGTTATCAACCATTTTCATCCCTATTTCCCCTTTTCGTTATTTTGCACTCAACCATTTTCATCCTATTTCCCTTTCTCGTTATTTGCACGGGTTATCAACCATTTCCCCTTTTCATTCTGTTTCAATCCCCTTTCTCGTTATTTGCACGGGTTATCAACCATTTTCATCTATTTCCCCTTTTCTTTTTATTTTGGGTTATCAACCATTTTTCATCTCTATTTCCCTTTTCTCGTTATTTTGCACGGGTTATCAACCATTTTCATCCTATTTCCCCCTTTCTCGTTATTTTTGGGTTATCAACCATTTTCATCCTATTTCCCTTTCTCGTTATTTGCATGGGTTATCAACCATTTTCATCCTATTTCCCCTTTCTCGTTATTTGCTTTGGGTTATCAACCATTTTTCATCCTATTTCCCCTTTCTCTTTTATTTGCACGGGTTATCAACCATTTTCATCCTATTTCCCTTTCTCGTTATTTGCACGGGTTATCAACCATTTTCATCCTATTTCCCTTTCTCGTTATTTGCACGGTTTATCAACCATTTTCATCCTATTTCCCCTTTCTCGTTATTCTTTGGGTTATCAACCATTTTCAACTTTTCCCTTTCTCGTTATTTGCACGGGTTATCAACCATTTTCATCCTATTTCCCCTTTCTCGTTATTCGCACGGGTTATCAACCATTTTCATCCTATTTCCCCTTTCTCGTTATTTCGCGGGTTATCAACCATTTTCATCCTATTTCCCCTTTCTCGTTATTTGCATGGGTTATCAACCATTTTCATCCTATTTCCCCTTTCTCGTTATTTGCACGGGTTATCAACAATTTTCATCCTATTTCCCCTTTCTCGTTATTTGCACGGGTTATCAACCATTTTCATCCTATTCCCCCCTTTCTCGTTATTTGCATGGGTTATAAACCATTTTATCATTTCCCCTTTCTCTTTATTCCCATTTTCATCCTATTTCCCCTTTCTCGTTATTTGCACGGGTTATCAACCATTTTCATCCTATTTCCCCTTTCTCGTTATTTGCACGGGTTATCAACCATTTTCATCCTATTTCCCCTTTCTCGTTATTTGCATGGGTTATCAACCATTTTCATCCTATTTCCCCTTTCTCGTTATTTGCATGGGTTATCAAACCATTTTCATCCCTATTTCCCCTTTTCTCGTTATTTGCACGGGTTATCAACCATTTTTCATCTTTCCCCCCTTTCTCGTCATTTGCGGGGTTATCAACTTTTCATCTATTTCCCCTTTCTCGTTATTCGCACGGGTTATCAACCATTTTCATCCTATTTCCCCTTTCTCGTTATTTGCACGGGTTATCAACCAATCTATTTCCCCTTTCTCGTTATTTTTTCATCAACCATTTTCATCCTTTCTCGTTATTTGCATGGGTTATCAACCATTTTCATCCTATTTCCCCTTTCTCGTTATTCGCACGGGTTATCAACCATTTTCATCCTATTTCCCCTTTCTCGTTATTTACAGGAGTTATCAACCATTTTCATCCTATTTCCCGTTTCTCGTTATTCGCACGGGTTATCAACCATTTTCATCCTATTTCCCCTTTCTCGTTATTTGCACGGGTTATCAACCATTTTCATCCTATTTCCCCTTTCTCGTTATTTGCACGGGTTATCAACCATTTTCATCCTATTTCCCCTTTCTCGTTATTCACGGGTTATTTCCATTTCATACTATTTCCCTTATTCAACTATTTTCATGCATATTTCCCCTTTCTCGTTATTTGCAGGGTTATCAACCATTTTCATCCTATTTCCCCTTTCTCGTTATTCGCACGGGTTATCAACCATTTTCATCCTATTCCCCTTTTCTCTTTATTTGCACGGGTTATCAACATTTCACCTATTTCCCCTTTCTCGTTTTTCGCAGGTTATCCATTTTCGTCCTATTTCCTTTCTCGTTATTTGCAAGGGTTATCAACCATTTTCATCTATTTCATCCTTTCCCCTTTCTCGTTATTTGCAAGGGGTTATCAACCAATCCATTATTTTCATCATTTCATATTTCCCCTTTCTCGTTATTTTGCAGGGTTATCAACCATTTTCATCCTATTTCCCCTTTCTCGTTATTTGCATGGTTATCAACCATTTCATTCTATTTCCCCTTTCTCGTTATTTGCACGGGTTATCAACCATTTTCATCTTATTTCCCCTTTCTCGTTATTCGCACGGGTTATCAACCATTTCTCCTATTTCCCCCTTTCTCTATTTCAACCCTTTTCATCGTTACTTTCTCGTTATTCACGGGTTATCAACCATTTTCATCCTATTTCCCTTTTCTCGTTATTCGCACGGGTTATCAACCATTTTTTTCTATTTCCCCTTTCTCGTTATTCGCGGGGTTATCCCATTTTCATCTATTTCTCGTTATTTGCAGGGGTTATCAACCATTTCATCCTATTTCCCCTTTCTCGTTATTCCTTTTGGGTTATCAACCATTTTTCATCCTATTTCCTTTCTCGTTATTCGCACGGGTTATCAACCATTTTCATCCTATTTCCCTTTTTCGTTATTTCAGGCTATCAACCATTTTCATCCTATTTCCCTTTCTCGTTATTCACGGGTTTTCAACCCCCCTATTTCCCTTTCTCGTTATTCGCACGGGTTATCAACCATTTTCATCCTATTTCCCCTTTCTCGTTATTTGCATGGGTTATCAACCATTTTCATCCTATTTCCCCTTTCTCGTTATTTGCACATTTTTTATCAACCATTTTTCATCCTATTTCCCATTTTCTCGTTATTCATTATTTTGGGTTATAAACCATTTCATCTATTTCCCCTTTCTCTTTATTATTTCATTTGCACGGGTTATCAACCATTTTCATCTATTTCCCCTTTCTCGTTATTTGCACGGGTTATCAACCATTTTTCATCCTATTTCCCCTTTCTCGTTATTTCGTATCGGGTTATCAACCATTTTCATCTCTTTCCCCTTTCTCGTTATTTGTTATCAACGGGTTATCAACCATTTTCATCCTATTTCCCCTTTCTTGTTTTTCGGGTTTATTTTCATGTTCGTTATTCCTTTGGGTTATCAACCATTTTCATCCTATTTCCCTTTCTCGTTATTTGCACGGGTTATCAACCATTTTCATTTCCCTATTCCCCCCTTTCTCGTTATTTGCAGGGTTTATCAACCATTTTCATCCCTATTTCCCCCGAATTTTCTCATTATTTCCCCTTTCTCGTTATCAACCATTTTTCATCCTATTTCCCCTTTCTCGTTATTCCTTTTGGGTTATCAACCATTTCATCCTATTTCCCCCTTTCTCGTTATTTCCCATGGGTTATCAACCATTTTTCATTCTATTTCCCCTTTCTCGTTTTTGCAGGAGTTATCAACCATTTTCATCTATTTCCCCTTTTCTCGTTATTTGCAGAGGGTTATCAACCATTTTCATCCTATTTCCCCTTTCTCGTTATTTGCATGGTTATCCAACCATTTTCATCCTTTTCCCCTTTCTCGTTATTTCTTTGGGTTATCAACCATTTTTCCTATTCCCCTTTCTCGTTATTTACAGGGTAATTCATCCTATTTCTCGTTTCTCGTTATAACCATTTTTATCAACCATTTTTCATCCTATTTTCTTTCTCATTCTTTTTCATGGTTATCAACCATTTTCATCCTATTTCCCCTTTCTCGTTATTTGCAGGGTTCTCAACCATTTCATCCTATTTCCCTTTCTCATTATTCGTTGGGTTATCAACCATTTTCATCCCTATTTCCCCTTTCTCGTTATTTGCACGGGTAACCATTTTATCTATTTCCCATTTCTCGTTATTTTTCATGTTTTCTATTTCCCCTTTCTCGTTATTTGCACGGGTTATCAACCATTTCATCCTATTTCCCCTTTTCTCGTTATTTGCACGGGTTATCAACCATTTTCATCCTATTTCCCCTTTCTCGTTATTCTTTTTGGGTTATCAACCATTTTCATCCAATTCCCCCTTTCTCGTTATTTGCACGGGTTATCAACCATTTTCATCCCTGTTTCCCCTTTCTCGTTATTTGCTGGGTTATCAACCATTTCATTCTTTCTCCTTTCTCGTTATTTGCAGGTTATCAACCATTTTTCATCCTATTCCCCCTTTCTCGTTATTTTTTTTGGGTTATCAACCATTTTCATCTATTTCCCCTTTCTCATTATTTGCAGGGGTTATCAACCATTTTCATCCTATTTCCCCTTTCTCATTATTTCGCAGGAGTTTATCAACCATTTCATCACCTTTCTCGTTATTTCCCCATTTTTTCTATTTCCTTTTATTTTCACGGGTTATCAACCATTTTCATCATTTTCGTTATCAACCATTTTTCCTCTTTCCCCCTTTCTCGTTATTTGCACGGGTTATCAACCATTTTCATCCTATTTCCCCTTTCTCTTTATTCGCACGGGTTATCAACCATTTTCATCCTATTTCCCCTTTCTCGTTATTTGCATGGGTTATCAACCATTTTCATCCTATTTCCCCTTTCTCGTTATTTGCAGGGGTTATCAACCATTTTCATCCTATTTCCCCTTTCTCGTTATTTGCACGGGTTATCAACCATTTTCATCCTATTTCACCTTTCTCGTTATTTGCACGGGTTATCAACCATTTTCATGCTATTTCCCCTTTCTCGTTATTCGCACGGGTTATCAACCATTTTCATCCTATTTCCCCTTTCTCGTTATTTGCATGGGTTATCAACCATTTTCATCCTATTTCCCCTTTCTCGTTATTTGCACGGGTTATCAACCATTTTCATCTATTTCCCCTTTCTCGTTATTCCATGGGTTATCAACCATTTTCATCCTATTTCCCCCCTTTCTCGTTATTTGCTTGGGTTTATCAACCATTTCATCTATTCCCCTTTTCGTTATCTTTTGGTTATCAACCATTTTCCATCTACCTTTTCCCTTTTCGTTATTTCTTTCTCGTTGGGTTATCAACCATTTTCATTCTATTCCCCTTTCTCGTTATTTTTGAGCTTTAAAACATTTCCTCCCAACCATTTCGCAGGGGTTTCATCATCTATTTCCCCTTTCTCGTTATTTGCACGGGTTATCAACCATTTTCATCCTATTTCCCTTTCTCGTTATTTTGGGTTATCAACCATTTTCATCCTATTTCCCCTTTCTCTTTATTCCTTTTGTGTTATCAACCATTTTCATCTATTTCCCCTTTCTCGTTATTTGCGCAGGTTATCAACCATTTTCATCCAATTTCCCCTTTCTCTTTATTTTCACGGGTTATCAACCATTTCAGGCTATTTCCCCTTTCTCGTTATTTACGGGTTTCAACCATTTTCATCATTTCCCTTTCTCGTTATTTGCGGGTTATCAACCATTTTCATCCTATTCCCCCTTTCTCGTTATTTGCATGGGTTATCAACCATTTTCATCCTATTTCCCCTTTCTCGTTATTTGGGTTGGCTATCAACCATTTTCATCCTATTTCCCCTTTCTCGTTATTCCTTTTGAGTTTATAAACCATTTTTCATCCTATTTCCCCTTTCTCGTTATTCGCAGGAGTTATCAACCATTTTCATCCTATTTCCCCTTTCTCGTTATTTGCACTTTGGTTTATCATCCATTTCATTTTCCCCTTTCTCATTATTTGCACGGGTAATCAACCATTTTCATCCTATTTCCCCTTTCTCGTTATTTGCATGGTTTATCAACCATTTCATCCTATTTCCCCTTTCTCGTTATTCTTTTGGGTTATCATTTCATCCATTTCCCCTTCTCGTTTTTCAGAGGTTATCAACCATTTTCATCTATTTCCCCTTTCTCTTTATTCGGACGGGTAATCAACCATTTTCATCCTATTTCCCCCTTTCTCGTTATTTACATTTGGGTTATCAACCATTTTCATCCTATTTCCCCTTTCTCATTATTCGCACGGGTTATCAACCATTTTCATCCTATTTCCCCTTTCTCGTTATTTTCACGGAATTTCTCAACAATTTTCATCCTATTCCCCCTTTCTCTTTATTTGCATAGGTTATCAACCATTTTCATCCTATTTCCCCTTTCTCGTTATTTGCACGGGTTTATCATTTTCATCCCATTCCCTTTCTCGTTATTTTTGGGTTATCAACCTCATTCCTATTCCCCTTTCTCGTTATTTCACGGGTTTATCAACCATTTCATCTATTTCCCCTTTCTCGTTATTTGGGGTTATCAACCATTTTTCATCCGTTATTTCAAGGGTTTCAACCGTTATCTGTTTTTCTCGTTATTTACCGGGTTATCAACCATTTTCATCCATTTCCCTTTCTCGTTTTTTTTGGGTTATCAACCATTTCATCCTATTTAACCTTTCTCGTTATTTACGGGTTATCAACCATTTTCATTCTATTCCCCTTTCTCGTTATTTGCACGGGTTATCAACCATTTTCATTTCTTTCCCCTTTCTCGTTATTTGCAGGGGTTATCAACCATTTTCATCCCTATTTCCCCTTTTCGTTATTCTTTGGTTATCTTCATTTCATCCTTATTTCCCCTTTCTCTTTATTCGCACGAGTTATCAACCATTTTCATCCTATTTCCCCCTTTCTCGTTATTCCTTTGGGTTATCAACCATTTTCATCCTATTTCCCCTTTCTCGTTATTTGCATGGTTATCAACCATTTTTCATCCTATTTCCCTTTTCGTTATTTCTTTCAACCATTTTTTCACCTTTCTCGTTATTTTTATCCCATTTTCCTATTTTCTCGTTATTTCACTTTGGGTTATCAACCATTTTCATCCTATTTCCCTTTCTCGTTATTTGCAGGGTTATCAACCATTTCATCCCTGTTTCCCCTTTCTCGTTATTTTCTTTGGGTTATCAACCATTTTCATCCTATTTCCCCTTTCTCGTTATTTCGCACGGGTTATCAACCATTTTCATCCTATTTCCCCTTTCTCGTTATTTGCAGGTTTATCAACCATTTTCATTATTTCCCCTTTTCTCCTGTTTTCATCCTTTCCCTTTCTCGTTATTCACGGTTATCAACCATTTCATCCTATTTCCCCTTTCTCGTTATTTTCACGGGTTATAAACCATTTTCGTTATTCCTAACCATTTCCCCTTTCTTTTTTATTCACATGGGTTATCAACCATTTCATCCTATTTCCCCTTTTCTCGTTATTTGATTTATCAACCATTTTCCTCATTTCCCTTTCTTGGAATTTATCAACCATTTTCATCCTATTTCCCTTTCTCGTTATTCGCACGGGTTATCAACCATTTTCATCCTATTTCCCCTTTCTCGTTATTCCGTTATTTTCATCCTATTTCCCTTTCTTGTTTTTTTTCGGGTTATCATATTTTCATTTATTCCCCCTTTCTCGTTATTTTGCAGGGTTATCAACCCATTTCATCCCTATTTCCCTTTCTCTTTATTTTGCAGGTTATCAACCATTTTCATCTATTTCCCCTTTCTCGTTATTTTTGGGTTATCAACTATTTTTCATCCTATTTCCCCTTTCTCTTTATTCACTTTTGGGTTATCAACCATTTTCATCCTATTTCCCCTTTCTCGTTATTTTGGGTTATCAACCATTTCATCCTATTTCCCCTTTCTCGTTTTTTGCGGGGGTTATCAACCATTTTTCATCGTTATTTTGCACGGGTTTCAACCATTTCATCTTTCCCCTTTCTCGTTATTCACACGGGTTATCAACCATTTTCATTCTATTCCCCCTTTCTCGTTATTTGCACGGGTTATCAACCATTTTCATGCTATTTCCCCTTTCTCTTTATTCGCACGGGCTATCAACCATTTTCATCCTATTTACCCTTTCTCGTTATTTGCATGGGTTATAAACCATTTTCATCCTATTTCCCTTTTCTCGTTATTTACAGGAGTTATCAACCATTTTCATCCTATTTCCCGTTTCTCGTTATTTGCACGGGTTATCAACCATTTTCATCCTATTTCCCCTTTCTCTTTATTCGCACGGGTTATCAACCATTTTCATCCTATTTCCCCTTTCTCGTTATTGCATGGGGTAATCAACCAATTTTTCATCCTATTTCCCCTTTCTCTCGTTATTTGCATGGGTTATCAACCATTTCATCCTATTTCCTTTTTTCGTTATTCACATTTTTTCAACCATTTCATTCTATTTCCCTTTCTCGTTATTTCACGGGTTATCAACCATTTTCATCCTATTTCCCCTTTCTCGTTATTCACCTTTGGGTTTATCAACCATTTCCTCCTATTTCCCCTTTTCTCGTTATTGCTCAGGTTATCAACCATTTTCATCCTATTTCCCCTTTCTCGTTATTTGCACGGGTTATCAACCATTTTTCATTCATTCCCCCTTTCTCGTTGTTGCACGGGTTTCCCATTTTTCCTCGTTTCCCCTTTCTCGTTATTCGCACGGGTTATCAACCATTTTCATTCTATTTCCCCTTTCTCTTTATTTGCACGGGTTATCAGCAACCATTTTCATCCTATTTCCCCTTTCTCGTTATTTACATGGTTATCAACCATTTCATCCCTGTTCTCCCTTTCTCCAGTTATCATCCATTTTCATTCTTCCCCTTTTCGTTATTTGCACGGGTTATCAATCATTTTCATCCTATTTTTTCTCGTTATTTTTTGAGGGTTATCCAACCATTTTCATTCTATTTCACTTTTCTCGTTATTCGCACGGGTTATCAACATTTTCATCCATTTCCTTTCTCTTTATTTCCTATCAACCATTTTCATGCTATTTCCTTTCTCGTTATTTGCATGGGTTTATAAACCATTTCATCCTATTTCCCTTTCCTCGTTATTTGCATGGGTTATCAGCCATTTTCATCCTATTCCCCTTTCTCGTTATTTCAGGGGTTATCAGCCATTTCATCCCTATTTCCCCTTTCTCGTTATTTGCAGGGTTATCAACCATTTCATCCCTATCTCCCCTTTCTCGTTATTTTGGGTTATCCATTTTTCATCCTATTTATCCCTTTCTCGTTATTTTCACGGGTTATCACATTTTTCATCCCATTTCCCCTTTTCATCCCATTTTTCCCCTTTCCCCTTTCTTTTTATTTGCACGGGTTATCAACCATTTTCATCCCTATTTCCCCTTTCTCGTTATTTGCAGGGGTTATCAACCATTTTCATCCTATTTCCCCCTTTCTCGTTATTCGCGGGGTTCAACCATTTCATCCAATTTCACCTTTCTCTTTTTATTTCATCCAACCATTTTCCTATTTCCCCTTTCTCGTTATTCCTTTTGGGTTATCAACCATTTTCATCCTATTTCCCCTTTCTCATTATTTGCATGGGTTATCAACCTTTCATCCATTTCTCGTTATTCCTATTTTCCCCTTTTTCCTCTTTCTTGTTATTTGCATGGTTTCAACCATTTCAACCATTTTCATCCTATTTCCCCTTTCTCGTTATTTTGCATTTCTGTTGTGCTTTGGGTTATCAACCATTTTCATCCTATTTTCTCCTTTCTCGTTATTTTGCAAGGGTTATCATCCATTTCATTCTATTCCCTTTTCTTTGTTATTGTTCGGGTTATCAACCATTTCCATTCTATTTGTTATTTGCAGGGTTATCAACCATTTTTCATCTATTTCCATTTCTCGTTATTTGCACGGGTTATCAACCATTTTTTCATCCTATTTCCCCTTTCTCGTTATTTTGGGTTATCAACCATTTTCTTCCATTTTCTTTATTCTTTTTTTCCCCTTTTCTCGTTATTTACCTTGGGTTATCAACCATTTTCATCCTATTTGTCACTATCAACCATTTTCTTTATTTCCATGGGTTATCAACCATTTTTCATCCTGTTTCCATTTCTCGTTTTCTCATTTTATTCTATTCCCCCTTTCTCGTTATTTTTGGTTATCAACCATTTTCATCCTATTTCGGGCCCTTTTTCTCGTTATTTTTTTCTCGGGTTATCAACCATTTTCATCCCTCTTCCCCTTTCTCGTTATTCGTTATCAACTTAATTTCATCCATTTCCTTTCTCGTTATTTTATCAACCATTTTCATCCTATTTCCCTTTCTCGTTATTTGCGGGTTATCAACCATTTTCATCCTATTTCTCCTTTCTCGTTATTTGCACGGGTTATCAACCATTTCATCCTATTTCCCCTTTCTCGTTATTTGCAGATTATCAAGGTTTATTTCAACCATTTTCATCCCTATTCCCTTTCTCGTTATTCCCGGGTTTCAACCATTTTCCTTATTTCCCTTTCTCGTTATTTGCACGGGTTATCAACCATTTTCATCCTATTTCCCCTTTCTCGTTATTTGCAGGGTTATCAACCATTTTCATCCTATTTCCCTTTCTCGTTATTGGGTTATCAACCATTTTTCATCCTATTTCCCCTTTCTCGTTATTTGCACGGGTTTTCAACCCATTTTCATCCTATTTCCCCTTTCTCGTTGTTATCTTTGGGTTATCAACCATTTCATCAATTCCGCCTTTCAGTTATTTGTTGGGTTATCAACCATTTTCATCCTATTTCCCTTTCTCGTTATTCCTTTTGGGTTATCAACCATTTTCATCCCTTTTTCCCTTTTCTCGTTATTTGCATGGGTTATCAACTATTTTCATCCTATTCCCTTTCTCGTTATTTGCACGGGTTATCAACCATTTCATCCTATTCCTCTTTCTCGTTATTTCGGTTTCAACCATTTATCAACCATTTTCATCCTATTTCCATCCTTTCACCAGTTATTTTTCATTGGTTATCAACATTTTCATCCTATTTCCCCTTTCTCGTTATTTGCACGGGTTATCAACCATTTTCATTCTATTTCCCCTTTCTCGTTATTCACACGGGTTATCAACCATTTTCATCCTATTTCCCCTTTCTCGTTATTTGCACGGGTTATCAACCATTTTCATCCTATTTCCCCTTTCTCGTTATTCGCACGGGTTATCAACCATTTTCATCCTATTTCCCCTTTCTCGTTATTTCATGGATTTATAAACCATTTTCATCCTATTTCCCTTTCTCGTTATTCCTTTGAGCTATCAAGCAATTTTTGCAGGGGTTATCAACCATTTTTCATTCTATTCCCCCCTTTCTCATTATTAATTTTCAACCATTTCATTCTATTTTTCTCGTTATTTTGGGTTATAAAACCATTTTCATCGTATTTCCCTTTTCTCGTTATTTTTTTGGGTTATCAACCATTTCATCCTATTTCCCTTTCTCGTTATTTGTACGGGTTATAAACCATTTTCATCCTATTTCCCCCTTTTCTCGTTATTCGCACGGGTTATCAACCATTTTCATCCTATTCCCACATTTTTTCTCAGTTATTTGCAGGATTTTTTAACCATTTTCATCCTATTTCATTTCATCCTTTTCTCGTTATTTGCATCGGGTTATCAACCATTTTCATCCTATTTCCCTTTTCTGTTATTTGCAGGTTATCAACCATTTTCATTCTATTTCCCCTTTCTCGTTATTTGCAGGAGTATCAAATTTTCCTCCCTATTTCCCTTTTCGTTATTCGCATCAAGTTGTCATTTTTCATCTGTTTCCCTTTTCTCATTATTTAGGAATTATCAACCATTTTCATCCTATTTTTTCTGTTATTTGCTGGGGTTATCAACCATTTTCATCCTATTTCCCTTTCTCGTTATTTGGCATGGGTTATCAACCATTTTCATCCTATTTCCCTTTTTCTCGTTATTACAGGGTTTATCAACCATTTTCATCCTATTTCCCTTTCTCGTTATTTGCACGGGTTATCAAATCCATTTTCATCCTATTTCCCCATTATTTTTTTTCTCGTTATTTGCTGGGTTTATCAACCATTTTCATCCTATTTCCCCTTTCTCGTTATTTGTAGGAGTTATCAACCATTTTCATCCTTATATCCCTTTTCGTTATTTGCATGGGTTATCCCCTATTTCCCTTTCTCGTTATTTTTCATCCTATTTCCTTTCTCTTTTATTCGCACGGTTATCAACCATTTTCATCCTATTTCCCCTTTCTCGTTATTTGCACGGGTTATCAACCATTTTTCATCCTATTTCCCTTTCTCGTTATTCACACGGGTTATCAAATCATTTTCATCCTATTTCCCTTTCTCGTTATTTGCATGGAATTTATCAACCATTTTCATCCTATTTCCCCTTTTCTCGTTATTTACACGGGTTATCAACCATTTTCATCCTATTTCCCTTTTTCTCGTTATTTGCACGGGTTATCAACCATTTTCATTCTATTTCACTTTTCTCGTTATTTGCACGGGTTATCAACCATTTTCATCCTATTTCCCTTTCTCGTTATTCAAAAATGGGTTATAAACCATTTCATTCTATTTCCCTTTCTCGTTATTCACAGGGGTTATCAAACCATTTTCATCCTATTTCCTTTTTCTCGTTATTTGCAGGAGTTATCAAACATTTTCATCCTATTTCCCCTTTCTCGTTATTCGCATGGGTTATCAACCATTTTCATCCTATTTCCCTTTCTCGTTATTTGCATGGGTTTATAAACCATTTTCATCCTATTTCCTTTTTCTCGTTATTTGCACGGGTTATCAACCATTTTCATCCCTATCCCTTTCTCGTTATTTGCACGGGTTATCAACCATTTTCATCCTATTTCCCCTTTCTCTTTATTTTTTGGGGTTATCAACCATTTTCCATCCTATTTCCCTTTCTCGTTATTCGCACGGGTTATCAACCATTTTCATTTTATTTCCCTTTCTCGTTATTTGCACGGGTTATCAACCATTTTCATCTATTTCCCTTTCTCATTATTTCATGGGTTATCAACCATTTTCATCCTATTTCCCCTTTCTCGTTATTTGCACGGGTCATCATCCATTTTCATCCTATTTCCCCTTTCTCGTTATTTGCATGGGTTTATCAACCATTTTTCATCCTATTTCCCCTTTCTCGTTATTTACAGGTTATCAACCATTTTCATCCCTATTTCCCCTTTCGTTATTGTATTTTATCAACCATTTTCATCCTATTTCTTTTTTCTCGTTATTTGCACGGGTTATCAACCATTTTCATCCTATTTCCCCTTTTCATTGTTATTTGCACGGGTTATCAAACCATTTTCATCCTATTTCCCCTTTCTCGTTATTTGTAGGGTTATCAACCATTTTTCATCCTATTTCCTTTTTTCTCGTTATTTTGCTTGGGTTATCAACCATTTTCATCCTATTTCTCCTTTTCGTTATTTTTTGGGTTATCATCCATTTTCATCCTATTCCCCTTTTTTCTCGTTATTTGCGTGTTATCAACTCATTTTCATCCTATTTCCCCTTTCTCGTTATTTGCAGGGGTTATCAACCATTTTCATCCTATTTCTCATTTTCGTTATTTCACGGGTTATCAACCATTTTCATCCTATTTCCCCTTTCTCGTTATTCGCATGGGTTATCAACCATTTTCATCCTATTTCCATTTTCGTTATTTGCGGGCCATCAACCATTTTCATCCTATTTTCTTCTCGTTATTTGCACGGGTTATAAACCATTTTCATTCTATTTCCCTTTTCTGTTATTCGCACGGGTTATCATCCATTTTCATCCTATTTCCCCTTTCTCGTTATTTGCACGGGTTATCAACCATTTTCATCCTATTTCCCTTTCTTATTATTTGCACGGGTTATCAACCATTTTCATCCTATTTTCCTTTTCTCTCGTTATTTGCACGGGTTATCATCCATTTTCATTTTATTTCCCCTTTCTCGTTATTTGTTTTTTGGGTTATCAACCATTTTCATCCTATTTCCCTTTCTCGTTATTTGCATGGGTTATCAACCATTTTCATCCCTATTTCCCTTTCTCGTTATTTTACGGGTTATCAAACCATTTTCATCCTATTTCCCCTTTCTCGTTATTTGCACGGGTTATCAACCATTTTCATCTATTTCTTTCTCGTTATTTGCAGGGGTTATCAACCATTTTCATCCTATTCCCCTTTCTCGTTATTTGCAGGTTATCAAACCATTTTCATCTATTTCCCCTTTCTCGTTATTCGTACGGGTTATCAACCATTTTCATCCTATTTATCCTTTCTCGTTATTTGCACGGTTATCATCCATTTTCATCCTATTTCCCTTCTCATTATTTGCATAAGCTATCAACCATTTTCATCCTATTTCCCCTTTCGTTATTTGCATGGGTTATCAACCATTTTTCATCCTATTTCCCCTTTCTCGTTATTTAATGGGTTATCAACCATTTTCATCCCTATTTCCCTTTCTCATTCGTTATTTGCACGGGTTATCAACCATTTTCATCCTATTTCCCTTTCTCGTTATTTGCACGGGTTATCAACCATTTTCATCCTATTTCTCCTTTTTCTCGTTATTTGTATGGGTTATCAACCATTTTCATCCTATTTCCCTTTCTCGTTATTTGCACGGGTTATCAAACCATTTTCATCCTATTTCCCTTTCTCGTTATTTTGCAGGGGTTATCAACCATTTTCATCCTATTTCTTTCTCGTTATTTTGCAGGGGTTATCATCCATTTTCATTCTATTCCCCTTTTCGTTATTTGCACGGGTTATCAACCATTTTCATCCTATTTCCCCTTTCTCGTTATTTTTTTTGGTTATCAACCATTTTCATCCTATTTCCCTTTCTCGTTATTCGCACGGGTTATCAACCATTTTCATCCTATTTCCCCTTTCTCGTTATTTGCACGGGTTATCATCCATTTTCATTCTATTCCCCCTTTCTCGTTATTTGCACGGGTTATCAACCATTTTCATCCTATTTCCCCTTTCTCGTTATTTGTAGGGGTTATCAACCATTTTCATCCTATTTCCCCTTTCTCGTTATTCGCACGGGTCATCAACCATTTTCATCCTATTTCACCTTTCTCGTTATTTGCACGGGTTATCAACCATTTTCATGCTATTTCCCCTTTCTCGTTATTCGCACGGGTTATCAACCATTTTCATCCTATTTCCCCTTTCTCGTTATTCGGAATTTGCATGGGTTATTTCCCCTTTCCGTTATTTTCGAGTTATCAACCATTTCATCCTATTTACTTTTCGTTATTCGCACGGGTTATCAACCATTTTCATCCTATTTCCCTTTCTCGTTATTTGCTTTTGGGTCATCAACCATTTCATCCTATTTCACCTTCTCGTTATTTGCAGGGTTATCAACCATTTTCATCTTATTTCCCCCTTTCTCTCGTTATTCGCTTTGGTTATCAACCATTTTCATCCTATTTCCCCTTTCGTTATTTGCACAGGTTATCAACCATTTTCATCCTATTTCCCCTTTCTCGTTATTCGCACGGGTTATCAACCATTTTCATCCTATTTCCCTTTTTCTCGTTCATCCATTTTTGCATGGGTTATCAACCCATTTTCATCCTATTTCCCCTTTCTCGTTATTTATCGGGTTATCAACCATTTTCATCCTATTTCCCCTTCCCTCGTTATTCTTTTTGGGTTATCAACCATTTTCATCCTATTTCCCTTTCCAGTTATTTGTATGGGTTATCAACCATTTTTCATCTATTTCCTTTTTCGTTATTTTTTTGGGTTATCAACCATTTTCATGCTATTTCCTTTTCTCGTTATTCAAATTGTTATCAAAATTTTCATCCTATTTCAATTTCTCGTTATTTCTCGACGGGTTATCAACCATTTTCATCCTATTAACTCTTTCTCGTTATTAAAACGGTTATTGAATATTTTCTTTCTTTCCTTTCTCGTTATTCAAATTGTTTCAACCATTTTCATCCTATTTTAATTCTCGTTATTTTCAAACGGGTAATCAACCATTTTTAAAATGCCGTCTATTTTCCCTTTCTCGTTTTCGTTATTCAAATTGTTTATCAAATATTTCATTCTATTTCCTTTTCTCATTATTCCTTCATTTTGAATATCTATTTATTTTTTGGGTTATCAACCATTTTTCATCCTATTTCTATTTTCTATTTTATTGCCGTCTATTTTTAATATCAACCATTTTCATCCTTTTTTTCCTTTTCTCGTTATTTGTATGGGTTAAAACCTTATTTTCATCCAGGATTATATTTCTCGTTATTTACAAAGGAGTCATATCAACTATTTTTAAATGCCGTCTATTGAATATCTCTTTTTCCCTTTTTCTCGTTATTTCGAGGAAAAACCATTTTCAATCCTATTCCCCCTTTTCTCGTTATTTGCAAAAGATGTTAATAACCGATTTTCATTTTATTTCCCCTTTCTCGTTATTTCTTTGGGTTTCCTTTTCTCGTTATTCAAATTATTTTCGGGTTATCTCCTTTGTTTCAATGCACGTTATTTATATCTCAACCATTTTCATCCTATTTCCCTTTCTCGTTATTTTAAAATGCCGTCTATCAACCATTTTCTCCTATTTCTTTTCTCGTTATTCAAATTGTTTCGGGGATGGTAAAACCATTTTTTAAAATCCATTTCCTATTTCCCCCTTTCTCGTTATTTGCACGGGTTATCAACCATTTTTATTTTATTCCCTTTTTCGTTATTTGTGGGGTTATCAACTTTTTCATCCTATTTCCCTTTCTCGTTATTCTTTTCGGGTTATCAAGGGAAAACCTTGTGTTTTAATGCACAGGATTATATCTCGACTAATGAGGAACCTTTCTGGTTACCGATTTATTGGGTTATGCCGTCCATTTTCTCTTTATTTTCCTTTTCTCGTTATTTAAATTTTTCTTGGGAAAACCTTTTCATTCTATGCACGGGATTTTCTCGACTAATTTGAACAAAGGGTTATCAACCATTTTCATCCGTATTTGAATATTTCTTTATTTCTGGGGTTATTCAAATCATTTTCAAAACCTTATGTTTCAATCAGGATTATTCGCTTGGTTAGAAACAATTTTGGTAATATTTCCCTATTTCAAATTTGCCGTTATCCTATATCTTCCTTTTCTCGTTATTCAAATTGTTTTGGGGAAAACCATTTTCAATGCACAGGATTTCCTTTCTAATTAGGAACAGGGTTATCAACCATTTTCATCCTATTTCCTCCTTTCTCGTTATTTGATGGTTATCAACCATTTTCATCCTATTTCCAGGATTTTCTCGTTTTATTATCCACCTATTTTCATCGTTATCTCTTTCCCTTTTTGTTTTCAGAGGAAAAACCTTATTTTCCCTTTCTCGTTATTTCTCGGGTAATCAACCATTTCATCCTATTTCCGATACTATTTTAAAATGCCGTTATCAAATATTTCTTTCTATTTCCCTTTTCTCGTTATTCAAATTGTTTATCAAACCTTTTGTTTCAATGCACCCTTTCTTTACTAATGGGTTATCATCCATTTTCATTCTATTTACCTTTTTTATTTGCATGGGTTATTGAATTTCATCCTATTTCCTTTTCTCGTTATTCAAATTGTTATGGGAAAACCATTTTCATGCAGGATTTATTTCTCGTTAATGAGGAACAAAGATGGTTATAAAATTTCCATTTTCATGAATATTTCTCTTTCTTTTTTCGTATTTCAAATTTTTCGATTATTCATTTTCATGTTTATTTCCATTTTTTCTATCGACTATTTCCCCTTTTCTCGTTATTCAAATTTTTGAAACCTTTAATTGGGATACTATTTTAACCTAATTTCCCCTTTCTCGTTATTTGTAACTATTTTATCAACCATTTTCATCCTATTTCCTTTTCTCGTTATTCAAATTGTTTCGATTTAAAACCATTTTCATTCTATTTCCTTTATCGTTATTTGCACGGGTTAACCATTTTCATTCTATTAACCCTTACTATTTTATTTGCCGGGTTTGAAATCCTTTTTTTTCCTATTTCGTTATTCAAATTATTTCGAGGAAAAATCGGGTTTCAATGCAAGGGATTATATTTTCTAATTTTCCCATTTAATAACCGATTTCCTATTTTCGTTATTTGCCGTCTATCAACCATTTTCATCCTATTTCCTTTTCTCGTTATTTGTTTCGAGGAAAACCATTTTGTTCCTATGCACCCTTTATATCTCGTTATGAGGAACAAGATGGTAATAACCGATACTATTTAAATCCTATTTCTACCTGAATAGTTATTTATTTTTCTCGTTATTCAAATTTTTTCAGGAAAACCTTATTTTCAATGCCATTTATCTCGACTAATTTCTCGTTGTTAAAGATGGTAATAATCGATACTATTTTAAAATGCCGTCTATTGAATATCTCTTTTCGTTATCCTTTTCTCGTTATTCAAATTGTTTCGAGGAAATCCTTATGTTTTCTCTTTCAGGATTATATCTCGACTAATGAGGAACAAAAGATTTTAATAACCGATACTATTTTAAAATGCCGTTATTGAATATCTCTTTCTTTCCTTTTCTCGTTATTCAAATTGTTTCGGGGAAAACCTTATGTTTCAATGCACAGGATTATATCTCGACTAATGAGGAACAAAGATGGTAATAACCGATACTATTTTAAAATGCCGTCTCAATTGAATATCATTTTCTTTCCTTTTCTCGTTATTCAAATTGTTTATCAAAAACCTTATACCCCTTTTCAATGCACAGGATTATATCTCGATTTAATGAGGAACAAAGATGGTAATAACCGATACTATTTTAAAATGCCGTCTATTGAATATCTCTTTCTTTTCCTTTTCTCGTTATTCAAATTGTTTATGGGAAAACCATTTTGTTTCAATGCACAGGATTATATCTCGACTATTTGAGGAATAAAGATGGTAATAACCGATACTATTTTAAAATGCCGTCTATTGAATATCTTTTCTTTCCTTTTCTCGTTATTCAAATTGTTTCGAGGAAAACCTTATGTTTCAATGCACAGGATTATATCTCGACTAATGAGGAACAAAGATGGTAATAACCGATACTATTTTAAAATGCCGTCTATTGAATATCATTTCTTTCCTTTTCTCGTTATTCAAATTGTTTCGGGGAAAACCTTTATGTTTCAATGCACAGGATTATATCTCTCGTTAATGAGGAACAAAGATGGTAATAACCGATACTATTTTAAAATGCCGTCTATTGAATATCTCTTTCTTTCCTTTTTCTCGTTATTCAAATTGTTTCTGAGGAAAAACCTTATGTTTCAATGCACAGGATTATATCTCGACTAATGAGGAACAAAGATGGTAATAACCGATACTATTTTAAAATGCCGTCTATTGAATATCTCTTTCTTTATTTTCTCGTTATTCAAATTGTTTCAGCCTAAAACCTTATGTTTCAATGCACAGGATTATATCTCGACTAATGAGGAACAACCATTTTAATAACCGATACTATTTTAATTTGCAGGGTCTATTGAATATTTTCATTTATTTCCTTTTCTCGTTATTCAAATTGTTTCGGGGAAAATTTTATTTTCAATCACAGGATTATATCTCGACTAATGAGGAACAAAGATGGTAATAACCGATACTATTTTAAATGCCGTCTATTGAATATTTTTCTTTCCTTTTCTCGTTATTCAAATTGTTTCGAGGAAAACCATTTTTCAATCCGGGATTATATCTCTTTAATGAGGAACAAAGATGGTATTAACCATACTATTTTAAAATGCCGTTATTTTGAATATCTCTTTTCTTTCCTTTTCTCGTTATTCAAATTGTTTCTGGGAAAACCTTTGTTTCGTTATTTATATCTCGACTAATGAGGAACAAAGATCCTATTAACCCTTACTATTTTATTTGCCGTTATTGAATATTTCTTTCTATTTCCTTTTCTCGTTATTCAAATTGTTTCGAGGAAAACCAACCATTTTCAATGCAGGATTTATCTCGACTAATGAGGAACAAAGATGGTAACCAACCGATACTATTTTAAAATGCCGTCATTTGAATATCTCTTTCTTTCCTTTTCTCGTTATTCAAATTGTTTCAGGGGAAAACCTTATGTTTCAATGCAGGATTATATCTCGTTATTTGAGGAACAAAGATGGTAATAACCGATACTATTTAAAAATGCCGTATTTTCCATTTTTCTTTCCTTTTCTCGTTATTCAAATTGTTTTCGGGGAAAACCTTATGTTTCAATGCACAGGATTATATCTCTTTAATGAGGAACAAAGATGGTAATAAACGATTTATTTTAAATTTGCCGTCTATTGAATATCTCATTTCATTCTTTCCTTTTCTCGTTATTCAAATTGTTTCGGGGAAAACCTTATTTTCAATGCACAGGATTATATCTCGACTAATGAGGAACAAAGATGGTTATAACCGATACTATTTTAAAATGCCGTCTATTGAATATCTCTTTCCTTTTCTCGTTATTCAAATTGTTTCGGGGAAAACCTTTATGTTTCAATTTGCACAGGATTATATCTCGATTAATGAGGAACAAAGATGGTAATAACCGATACTATTTTAAATGCCGTCTATTGAATATCTCTTTATTTTCCTTTTCTCGTTATTCAAATTGTTTCGGGGAAAACCTTATGTTTCAATGCACAGGATTATATCTCGACTAATGAGGAACAAAAGATGGTAATAACCGATACTATTTTAAAAATGCCGTCTATTCAAATATCTCTTTCTTTCCTTTTCTCGTTATTCAAATTGTTTCGGGGAAAACCTTATGTTTCAATCAGGATTATTTCTCGTTAATGAGGAACAAAGATGGTAATAACCGATACTATTTTAAAATGCCGTTATTTGAATATCAACCATTTTCTTTCCTTTCTCGTTATTCAAATTGTTTTGGGTTAAAACCTTATGTTTCAATGCACAGGATTATTCTCGACTTTTGAGGTTACAAAAGATATTTTATCAACCATTTTCATCCTATTTCCCTTTTCTCGTTATTCAAATTGTTTAGGAAAGCCTTTTGTTTCAATGGGATTTATCTCGACTATTGAGGAACAAAGATGGTAATAACCGATACTATTTTAAATGCCGTCTATTGAATATCTCTTTCTTTCCCTTTTCTCGTTATTCAAATTGTTTCAAAAATTTTCATGTTTCAATTCCAGGATTATATCGTTAATGAGGGTTAACAACCATTTTCATAACCGATACTATTTTAAAATGCCGTTTATTGAATATCTCCATTTCATCCTATTTCTCGTTATTCAAATTATTTCGGGAAAACCTTATGTTTCAATCAACAGGATTATTCTCATCTAATTTCCCAAAGATGGTTATTTGATACTATTTTAAAATGCCGTCTATTGAATATCTCTTTCTTTCCTTTTCTCGTTATTTCAAATTGTTTTTGGGAAAACCATTTTCAATCAGGATTATATCTCATTTATGAGGAACACGGATGGTAATAATTTACATTTTAAAATGCCGTTCTATTGAATATCTTTCTTTCTTCAAAATTTTTCATCCTCTATTTATTCAAATTATTTGCAGATGGGGAAAACATTTTCATGTTTCAATTTGGTTAGAAACCAGGATTATTTCTCGACTAATGAAAACATTTTCATCCTATTTCCCCTTTCTATTTTAAATGCCGTCCATTTTCATCTTTCTTTCCCTTTTCTCGTTATTCAAACGGTTTGAGGAAAACCTTATGTTTCAATGCCATTTTCATTCTAATCCCTTTCAAAGATTATTTGCGACGGGTTATTTTCAACCATTTGAATATCTCTTTATTTCCTTTTCTCGTTATTCAAATTGTTTCAACCATTTTCATTATATTTCCAATGCACAGGATTATTTCGACGGGTGAGGAACCATTTCATTCTATTCCCCCTTTCTCGTTATTTGCCGGGTTATTGAATATTTTCATCCTATTTCCTTTTCTCGTTATTCAAATTGTTTAGGAAAACATTTTGTTTCCTATTCCCCTTTTCGTTATTCGCTAATGAGGAACAAAGATTTTAATCCCTATTTCCCTTTTTTAAAATGCCGGTTATGAATTTTTCATTCTTTCCCCTTTCTCGTTATTTCAAACGGGTTTTCGGGAAAACCTTATATTTCCCTTTCTCGTTATATCTCGGGTTATCAACCACAAAGATCCTAATTCCCGATACTATTTTTAAATGCCGTTTATTGAATTTCTCCTATTTCCTTTTCTCGTTATTTCAAATTGTTCAACCATTTCCTCCTATTTCCCAATGCACTCGTTATTCGACTAATGAGGAACAAAGATTTTCCTCCTGATCCTATTTTCGTTATGCCGGGTTATCAACCATTTCTCCTATTTTCCGTTTTCTGGGTTATATTTTTCCAGGATTATCTTTTAATGTTATAAAGAGGTTATCAACCATTTTCATCCTATTTCCCCTTTCTTTATTATTTTCTCGGGTTATCAACCATTTTCCTTCTATTTCCCATTTTTTCTCGTTATGAGGAACAAAGATGGTTATCAACCATTTTCATCCTATTATTCTCGTTATTCGCACGGGTTATTCAACCATTTCCTCCTATTCCCCTTTATCCGTTATTTGCATGGGTTATTTTAAAACCATTTTCATCCCTATTTCCCCTTTCTCGTTATTTTCAAACGGTTTAAAAACATTTTCATCCTATTTCCCCCTTTCTCGTTATTCGCACGGGTTATCAACCATTTTCATCCTATTTCCCCTTTCTTTATTCGCGCGGGTTATCAAATATTTTCTTTCCTATTTCCTCGTTATTCAAATTGTTTTGGGGTTAAAACCATTTTCAATTTTCCCCTTTCTCGTTATTTGCACGGTTTATCAACCATTTTTTCCGATATTATTTTTCTCGTTATCTACGGGTTATCAACCATTTTCCTCTATTTCCCCTTTCTCGTTATTTGCACGGGTTAAAAACCATTTCCTCCTATTACCCCTTTCTCGTTATTTGCACTAATTTATCAACCATTTCATCCTATTCCCCCCTTTCTCGTTATTTATCAAATGGGTTATCAACCATTTTCCTCCTATTTCCCATTCTCGTTATTTTCAAACGGGTTATCAACCATTTTCATTCTATTCTCCATTTCTCGTTATTCCTTTTTGCGGGTTATCAACCATTTTCCTCCTATTCCCCCCTTTTCTCGTTATTCGCACGGGTTATCAACCATTTTCCTCCTATTCCCCTTTCTCGTTATTTTTTGGGTTATCAACCATTTTCATCCTATTCCCCCTTTCTCGTTATTTGCACGGGTTATCAACCATTTTCCTCCTATTCCCCCCTTTCTCGTTATTTGCACGGGTTATCAACCATTTTCATCCTATTCCCCTTTCTCGTTATTTGCACGGGGTTAAAACCATTTTCCTCCTATTTCCCCTTTCTCGTTATTTGCAGGGTTATCAACCATTTCCTCCTATTTCCCCCTTCTCGTTATTTGCACGGGTTATCAACCATTTTCATCCCTATTTCCCCTTTCTCGTTATTTGCACGGAATTTATCAACCATTTTCATCTTATTTCCCTTTCTCTCGTTATTCCTTTTTGGGTATTCAACCATTTTTTCCCTATTTCATCGTTATTTCTCGTTTATTTGCATGGTTTATCAATCAATCCTTTTCTTTTCATCCTATTTCCCATTTTTCTCGTAATTTTTACGGGTTATCAACCATTTTCATCCTATTTCCCCTTTCTCGTTATTTGCATAGGTTATCAACCATTTCATCCTATTTCCCCTTTCTCGTTATTTGCAGGATTTATCAACCATTTTCATCCTATTCCCCTTTCTCGTTATTTGCAGGATTTATCAACCATTTTCATCCTATTTCCCTTTCTCATTTATTTGCACGGGTTATCAACCATTTTCATCCTATTTCCCCTTTCTCGTTATTTCACGGGTTATCAACCATTTTCATTCTATTTCCCCCCTTTCTCGTTATTTGCCGGGTTATCAACCATTTTTCATCTATTTCCCCTTTCTCGTTATTTGCACGGGTTATCAACCATTTTTCATCCTATATCCCCTTTTCTCGTTATTTGCACGGGTTATCAACCATTTTCATTCTATTCCCCTTTCTCGTTATTTGCACGGGTTATCAACCATTTTCATTCTATTTCCCCTTTCTCGTTATTTTGTACGGGTTATCAACCATTTTCATGCTATTTCACCTTTCTCGTTATTTGCACAGGTTTATCAACCATTTTCATCCTATTTCCCTTTCTCGTTATTTTTGGGTTATCAACCATTTTTCATCCTATTTCCCCTTTCTCATTATTTGCATGGGTTATCAACCATTTTCATTCTATTCCCACTTTCTCGTTATTTGCACGGGTTATCAACCATTTTCCTCCTATTCCCCCTTTCTCGTTATTCGCACGGGTTATCAACCATTTTCCTCCTATTCCCCCTTTCTCGTTATTTGCACGGGTTATCAACCATTTTCATCCTATTTCCCCTTTCTCGTTATTTGCACGGGTTATCAACCATTTTCATTCCTGTTTTCCCCTTTCTCGTTATTTGCACGGGTTATCAACCATTTTTCATCCCATTTCCCTTTCTCGTTATTCTTTGGGGTTATCAACCCTTTTTTCCTCCTATTCCCGTTCGTTATTTGCACGTGTTATCAACCATTTTCCTCCTATTTCCCCTTTCTCGTTATTCGCACGGGTTATCAACCATTTTCATTCTATTCCCCCTTTCTCGTTATTTGCACGGGTTATCAACCATTTTCATCCTATTCCCTTCTCGTTATTTTGGGTTATCAACCATTTTCCTCCTATTCCCCCCTTTCTCGTTATTTGCACGGGTTATCAACCATTTCCTCCTATTCCCCCTTTCTCGTTATTCAACCATTTTCCTCCTATTTTTATTTTTTACGTGTTATCAACCATTTCCCTCCTATTCCCTCTTTCTCGTTATTTGCAGGAGTTATCAACTATTTTCATCCTATTTCCCTTTTCTCGTTATTTTTTTGAGGCAATCGCCCATGCCGATTTGTAAAAATATAAATTAAAATATTTATTTTCATTACTTTTTAATGTGCGCCTTGTGGTTGATGCTTTGCTGCTAGAAATTTAATATTTGTGATATGTCCCGGAAAGAGATATATTTCATCGAAGTAGCTAAGTGGTTTTGGCTACTATAACCAAGTAGTACATGGTAGCAATAATCGACTGGTACTCGTCTTAGTCGCAGGTAATAAGTGTAGACCAATAGAATAGCCAATGACGTAGTCCAATGGGCGTCGTCATAGACTTAAACTCTGTCGTACCTACACGTCCGTCTGTATTTATGACGGACACCAGCCAATCATATTCCAGTGAGGGGGAACACAGGTGTATGCATATTCCATTATATCAATTTGGTTTCAAATTTTTAAGTTTTAGTCTTATGTCTCCGAGTACATATACAAATTTTATTTCTTTCTTTGCTCAAGATTTTGGCGGCGAGTTTCCTGGTGCCGAGTTGGTGGTGCCGAGTTGGTGGTGCCGAGTTGTCTCCTCTTGAAAAGTATAACTCAGAAACAATATTTTCAACTGAAAGTTATTATCATTAACAATTGATCTAATTATTAATATCATCACTGTGACAATACCAACATAAAAATTTGACATCATCCACTTCTTACGATTAATGTTCAAACACTGCAGTGCAATACACAATTATGATGATCATTAAAAATAATTTATTTCGTCCTTAAAGAGTTAAAGACTTAATTTCGTAGATAGATGAGAACGCATGAATTTAGAAACGTTTATTAAAACATAAAATCGTAATTCTTTATTTAAGAATGTTTCCACTTTCTATGAAAGAAAAAAAACTTGTTTGTGAAAACTTATGGCCCCTGTCAGAGAAAAAATCGCCACCTGGGGGCGATATATTCCCCCGTTGAGAATGCCTGATGTAGAGGATGAGAAGAGCGTTAAAGAGTATTATCCTGAGAAGGACAATTTTGTAGCCGTTGAGTATTGTTGTTCTGAAAAGGACAGTGTTGTAGTTGTTGAAGAGTGTCGTCCTGTAAAACACAATTTTGTAGTTGTTGAAGAATGTTGTCCTGAAAAAGACAGTTTTGTCGCCGTTGTAGTCCCGAAAAGGACAGTTTTCTAGTTGTTGAGGAGTGTTGTCTCGAAAAGGACAGTTTTGTAATTGTCGAGGAGTGTTGTCCTGAAAAGGACCGTTTTGCAGGTATCGAATAGTGTTTTCCTGAAAAGACCAATTTTGTAGCCGTTGAGTATTTTTGCCTTGAAAAGGACAGTTTTGCAATCTATTCCACGAACGCGGGTGTTTAGCAATGTTGTTCTGAAAAGGACAGTTTATTAATTGTTGAAGAGAGTTGTCCTGAAAAGGACAGTTTTGTAGTTGTTGAGTATTGTTGCCCTGAAAAGGACAATTTTGTAGCCGTTGAGTGTTGTTGCCCTGAAAAGGACAGTTTTGTAGCTGTTAAAGAGTGTTATCCAGAAAGGGACAACTTATCGCTTATCGTTGCTGCTGAAGAGGATGGCTGTTTGAGAGTGGCTGGAGCTGCGGTCGGTGGCGAGTTGGTACTGCTGCTGATGGCTGGCTGGATGTCTGGATCTGCTGCTGTTGCTGTCTGGAGCTTTAGGCCGGTTATCTGCTGCTGGAACAGATATTACACTTTGGTCCTAGACATCCCGTCCGCGGATAGTTTTATCTAAAATGCATTTTACTACTATTATTTTTACTAAGAGGAATCGAGGAAAGCCTTATCTCTCTGTTTATCCTACACCTACCTAATCTAATTCACGGCCTATTCACTCTAACAGTTTCCGCACTCAACACAATAACCCGTTCTTCTCCACTCAGTACAACATATACTACAATAACACATATTCACAGGAATCTTATAAACCCCTTTGTCGATTTTGAGGCCTTTTTATATGCTGAATTAGTTTCTTCTTCCAGTTGTTTTTTTTTAATGTGAGAGCGCCGGCAGGATACAACAATACTTCGTTTTAACTTTTACAATGTACCTTTTAGCATACCAATGCGCCTTCAGATTTTTGTATGAGATTTCTCTGATAGTTAAATTTCTACAGTTGTTTGATTTTGGTATCCCTAATTAGTATCGTGTATAGTGATAGAAAGATAAATAAATAAAAATAAACAAATAACAACAAGAAGGCCAAATTTTCAACATCGTTAAAAATAGATGGATATTCATAATCACCAGGTCATGAAGTAATATTTCGACCAACTAATCAGAAACTAGGAAGCAGAGTAGAGTAATGGATTGCGACTCGAAGTGAATTCCTGTCGAGATCATTACATTCACTAAGCTAATACTCCTGGGAAAGGTATGAATCCAGCTCTTCTCCCCCAGCTATAGGTAAATAGTAGGACAGACTGGGTTCTATAACCTTGGGTGGCAACCAATTTACCGCTGAAAGAAATGGCAAGCTATTCTACCTAGTCAGTTATTACTCGAAAGAGACATGATCGCCCAAGCGCAGTAGTGTGCAGAAGGGGGGCAGAGGGTGTCAGGGCCCTGGGCATCCATATCGAGAGGACATCCAATCAAAGAATGAAATAAAAATTTAGTTTTTGAAATTTATGAACGTGTTTATTTCATGTTTCATTTGTTTTACATATTTAAAATGTTTTCCTTCCTCACATTTCTCAGTACTATGCCCTATAGGCCCCCCTTACTTGAGTTGTAGGGGCGTACAATCAAAGAATTGGCCTCGGGCATCAACAAACCTTACCAAATCTCTGCACGACATTGCCCAAATGTGTATCACGTATGGTACTTAACTGACTGAATCAGAAACTGTATCGACCCGGATACGAATATCATAACGAGCGAATTAGAAACTCCTCTGGTTCGCTCGTTAGACTATGTCATAGTTTAACGAGGATACGAATATCATATAGTCTAATGGGCGAATTAGAAAGTATGATATTCGTATCCTGGGCAGCTTTTCTAATTAAATGTCATAGCTTTATTGCATTTTTTATTTTACAAATCAGAGCATATTTTCGGTGAAACGGGTAACTGTTCTCCAAAAAAAAAAAAAAAAAAAAAAAGTTGCTGATTTACTTTCTCCAAAGACTCCTGTTTTTAACTAGTAAAAAATATTTTATTATTATTTTTTTTTAAAAATCCCACCTTAAAAATTTAATTTTTGGAAATTTCATGAAATTATGTAAGTGGGTGGTAACATATGTAACAAAAAAAATTTTACCAAGATTTTCTAAAAAATTTAAAAAATAATTTCATTCATTTCTGAATATGTCCTGAAAGTTTCATTAAAATCTGACAATTATTTGAATTTTGCAAGAATTTCAAATCAATGTGTTTTTCCTCGGAAAAAGCGCAAAATAAAACCTTTTTGCTCTAGTTCATCGTTGCATGAAAAAAAAAAAAAGGAAAATTAAAAAAAAGACTTTTAACCAAAATTTCAAACGTGTTAGAAAGGAGTAAAAAATTTAAAATAATAATAAAAAAAATAATCGGGTCTTTCCTCTTGATAATAACATAAACATCTTGATGACAAAACTTTATTTTTATTGAGTTTGAGCCTTTTTTCATCATACTGTCGTTTTTACGCGACCAAGTGCAGGTAAGGAAGTGCATCAGTTCTCAACCAGGATATACAATATTACAAGGTCATTGACCATGAATCAGTCAAAAAAGCGAAGCAGCAGTTTCGAAGCGGATCTCTAAATATGGAAAACAACGAGATGGAAAGTTAACCTAAATCAGATTAATTCATTTTTTCAAAGCTCCGCACCTGCGCTTATCGTAACATAACTGGGTATGTTATGACAGCAGCCGAAATGCGATGCAGGTGCAAAAACCACACAATCTGATAGGTATCTCCATGAGATCGCTAAAAATTTAGCCTACCCTGATGAAAACATGCTCCAAGCATAATGAAAACATATTTTTATCGTCAAAATCATTATGCTATTATTATTTTTTGCTTACTTAATTAATTTTTTTTTACTCCTTTTTAGAAAATTCGAAATTTTGATTGTTTTTCTTGTGTCAGCGGGTAACTTTTAGCATGGCAAATTTTAGCCTCTTTTTTTGCCGTGATAGACAGTAATCTGGAAATTCTTGTAAAAATCAAATAATTGTCGGATTATAACTTTTTTTTTAGAAAATTTTAGTAAAAATATTTTTTATCTTACATGTGTTTCTCTTCATCGAGATAATTTTTAGCGGCTAAAGCAGAAGTTTTTGAAGATTTTTAATTTAAATCACCGAACTTTTTAAAAAAAATCAGATATCGAAAATCTATTCTGAATCGAAAAAAAAAAATAACTAAGACATTATTTAATTAGATAGCTTTTAATTGCTTTTATGAATTGTATATACTAACAGTATGTTGCGTGGGATGTAACAATGAAGATAGATCAAGTATCGACCATCATAAAGACTGAAAATAAAATTGACAAAGATTATTGTTTAAGGTTGACGGACACGCATGTCTTAATTAGTTTTTTTTTTTTTTACGAATTGGTCAAACTCAAACAAAAACATTGTTTACAATCGTTATGAGTCGATTGAATAGAATTTTATTATAAACAATTGTTTTGTAAATGGAATTTTAAAGCATTCTGAATGTAAAAAAATAAAGAAAAAAGTGTGCAAGACAATAAGAAACACTACCTGCCAAAAAAAGTGAAGTTTTGTTGAAATCGGTTGAAAAATGTAGGAAATCCGATCCCATATATAAACGAACACACACACACACACACACAAACAACCTGGGTTTTATAATAAGTATAACTCGATATGAGTTGTCCCCCTTTCATTCTCGCAATGCCTCTTAATCGTGTTTTCAAATTGATTTCGTGCAAAAACAATTGTGTTTTTCAAATTTTTATCGCTGTCAGGTAATTTTACATAGTCCTGTGAAGTTTTGTTGAAATCGGTTGAAAAATGTAGAAAATTCAATATATAAACGTGCACACACACACACACACACACACACACACACACACACACACACACACACAACATGGATTTTATA